TGATTCATCGTTGGTGCTTCCAATTGTTCGGCCAACTTCACGGAGCTCGTTGGTTTGTTTAAATCGTAAGCTTGATATCCTTTTCAAAAGTTCCATAAATCATGATTTTGTCATATAGCTTGCTTGGTAGTACTCAGTTGTTATTATTATCATTTTTCAAAATTGTTATTATCATCAGTAAGTTGCGAATAATGAGAAATAATAATTCATCAAGTTGGATATAAAAATAAGTGAAGAATGATAAATCAATAAGATTGTTATATAATATTTTTAGCGTTTTTTTCGCGTTTTAGTGTCCAATTTATTTTTTCTCGTTTTAGTGCTTAATTAATTTTTTGCGTTTTAGTATTTAATTTATTTTTATTTATATATTAATATTTTCAATCCACGAGGTGAAAATATCCAAATAAAATATTATTCACATTTCCCTCTCTTTAAAAAAAAATTTAAATTTCACACCATAGTTTTAATTCAATAAGTGTTTTTTTAAAATAATTTATCTTCATAAGATAATTTTTAGAAAATGATCTATAAATATTTTTCTAAAATGATGATGTTTAGTTTTTACATACTCTTTTATTTGTCTTCAAGGCTTTAAATTTCAAAACTTTTTATCACATTAAGTATTACTTTAAGGGTTATTTTAATTTTATAATTTTCTAATATCTGCATTATTATATTTTTTTATTTAATCATATGATTTTTATCTATTAAATCTTATAATTCATATGTTTCAATTCAATTACATTTTGATAAATCATATTTCTTGTTTAGGATTTTTAATGGTTTAACTATGTATAATTCAAGAAATCAAAAATATCAGTAGGCATTTCACAAAGAAATTCATTAAGCAAATAATTTTTTAAGGCTTTTTAACATCTTTAAATAATTCAGTTAATTTACATAATTGGTCATAATTCAAGAAATCAAAAATATCAATAGGCATTTCACTATAAGCAAATAATTTTTTAGATTGATTTACATTTAAATTATTTTATTAAGTTAATTTCTTGGCATAGAATTTTAATTTATAATAACTTTTCTTCTTACGTGGATTTAGAATTATATGTAAATCATCAATGGTTTCACTATATAGAATTCATAACCTAACGTCCAACTTCCATATTGGTTTTTTCTAGGTTGTCACATTAGATTAGTTGTTGGGTCATCATATTGCAGTCCACCACCCAGAGCCAGGAGACCATGAAGAAAGAAGCTTTTGTTGTGAAAGAACGTGCTATGGTTTGATTCTTGGTCATCTCAATAGATTAGGTAGTCATCTCATTCAAGTCACCACCCAGAGCCGGGGCACCATGAAGAAAGAAAGAAGGACGTCCTTGGAGAAAAAGTAAAAATATTATTTTATCTCATTTTATTTCTCTTTTTCATATGGTATATAACATTTTTACAAATTAAAATTAGAATATAATATTAAAAAGGTTAAGTTATAAAATAAAAGTATAACTAAAATAAAAATATAATTTGAACAAACAGAATTAAATGAATGTGCGATTTGAATAAACAGAATTAAATGAATGTGCGTTACATAAATTTAAACATATTACTAATCAATAACCAAAATATATAATATATTAATTTCTATAATATAACACCCATTAACTAAAAACTAGAATATGCCATACCATCATTTTGGGAGTTAATGAATATTCATAAGTTTATTATGAAATTCAATTGTAGGTACAAAAAATTCGTTTCAACAAACCAGTAATTATTAAATTAATATAGATATTTGCGTTTCAAAAACTTGATAGAATTTAATAAAGAAGAAGCAAAAGAAATTGATTTAAATGTGCTAATGAATATTTTTATAAATAAATATGAAATAAGAAGTAGCACATTTTACCTTAAAAAAATATTAATATTTTTATTATCTTATATATCATTCACAAAATAAAAAAAATATTAAAAAAAGATTTTCTATACAAAATAAAAATTACTTTTGTTGATTTTAATAATTCATTAAAATATGAGGTCTTTTTTCAAATGTTGAACATGTCATTAAAAAAAATCTCAGCCCCCATAGAAATTTTTGCTAAGTATCAATAATTGCCATAGTCAATTATAAAGAGCTCTGGGTAGTATTTATTAAATTAGTAACCAATATACCAATTCGTCTTATTTTAAATTTCATACAAAAAAAAATTAATGTTTTATCTTTTTATTTTCTTTTAGAATGTATTTTTTTAGAAAAATGATTTAGAACACTATTTTATTTTTACATTACAAATAGCTTATGTTACTTTTTTCTTCAAAATTAAAAAATTTATATTTTTTGTGGTTAGGAGACAGCCAAAAAAGATTTTATTCACCCCGCAATGATACTATTTCCATATTTTGATATATGGATAAAGAATCTAGTCTTATATTGAATGTTTATTAATATATATGAACCTTAAATTTAAGAAATTATTTACTCTTAAATTCGCTCGATTATATACAATCAGGCTTGTAACCAGAAATTTTCAGTTAGAGAAAAGAAATTCATTATTTGTGAGAGCCAATATTTTTGAAATGAAACAAACACTTGGGCACTATATTGCTATTTTTATTCAAAATTTCTAAAAATAAATATACAAAATAATACTATATTATAATACAACCATTTTGAATTTTAACATAAGTTTAGGTATATTAAAAGATAACTTTAAGCTATTTTTCTTATACACCATTAAAACTAAATTTGTCTTCGTTACCTTCTAAACAATTAAAAAAGTACAATATCAAAAATGTAGAAATTGAATAACTTAGATTATACTCAAATTTTTTAAGTGGAAATAAATAATTAAAATGTAATGTGTCCGCCTGAGTAACTTCGGTTCCTAAAATAGTTTAGTGATACTCCACTAGGAAAATTTGTATTTAAAAAAATATTCATCCCCACCAGAGTAAAATTTTTGTTGTGCAAGAATATTCAATCTTTTTCATTTTTTTTGAAATATTCTATTAATAGTTGACCTGTGCTGGTCTAATTAACGTTTAGGTAACATCCGTGGTAATCAAGAGGTTGTTTGTAACATCTATAATTTATCTTGATTGTTTAATTAATTAAATCTCGCTAAAATTGACTTAAACCATGTTCAAGAAGAGGTTGATAAGAATCAATCATCACAGGAACTGAAGATTTAGCCAACACTAATGTCTTGGAAGAATAAAAAATACGTATATTGTTTTTTTTTTCATTGGTTAATGAGTGAATGGATATTTTATAACTATTTTTTTCTTCTTGTTTATCCAATTAATTTGGCTAAATAATTTAACTAAAATTTCTTCTAAGAATTTTGTTTTTTTCATTTAGAATTAATTATTAACGGCAAATTGAAATTCAATAACTATTATTTTTTTTTAAATTTGGGAAATTTTTTTGGGCCATTTGTAAAGGCTAAGATTTCAATAAAGGGACTGGAGCCAGTATTTTTTTTAGAGGTTTATGATAAAATTAATGAGATAAAAGTTTTACATTCGGAAGTATTGTAAGATAAAATATCCAGAAAGTTATGCAATTTTTTAACCTTTTCAAGAATATCTCATTAATTTAGTTTTTGAAATATTTGTCAATATATAAAAAATGATACATTTCAAAAGGCACATTAGAACGTGAAAAATAATATCCCTAATTATTATTTCTTCCAAAGCATATTTATTAATCCTAAAAACTAACAATCTACTTATTTGAAAATAAAAAATTCCTATTTAAACATTGTTAATTGAACTATTTTTTTTGCTTTTATAGTGTTGTATCGTCAGTTAATAAAAATAAATTTCTTGAGGCACGAGTTAATTTTTTTATAGAATTGAGCTATCATTTCAGTTCAAACCTCGATCAAGGCGAAAATGATAGTTTTCGCTTAAAAATTTGGTTTGGTCTTTTTAAGAATCGATTCAAATTTTAAAAGAAAATATGATATTTGAAATATTATTGGTTCAATAATATTTGCTTTATATAAAATTTTATTGGGCCATGAACCCTACTGTACCCGTGGTGTCGAGGCCACTAAATTTTAAAAACTTGTCATTACTGTAGATTGTTATTAAATTTTTTACCTTTAATTATCTATATCCAAAAAAATTGATAAAACGAGCGAAATCAAAATTTTTATTTAGTTGATTGATAACTGATACAGAATGAAAATAAAAGAGAAGAAAAATATATTGAAAAATAGAACTTTTTTCATCTCGATCTTTATTTTATAAAGTGTTTTTATTACTAAGATCAAGATTATTATCCAAATATCTTTTTAAATAATATATCACAATATTATCGAGATACATATCTGGGTCCAAAAATTGCAATTTTTCATAAATATCATCAGACAATAAAAAAATTATCCCTTCCTCTTCCTGCCCCGTAAGAAAATTCTGCCTACCCTGTCCCTAATATAAACAAAACGGCTGTTGTAGAATAGCACCCCCCCCCCCATTCCTCATATGACTATAAAAAAATGTGAAAAAGGAGATAAAATATCTGTCTGAATTTATAAAATTTTTAATTCGATAAAAAGAGCGAAATGATACAGCGGCAATTTATAAACTCGAAAGTATATATTTGGAAGTTTAGCTATAGCCGCTTTCAACCGGCTGTAAACTAATTAAAAAATAATACTGTATTAGGTATAGCAAAGTGATTATGATCAGTAGGTATAGTCAATTTTAAATTGCTTTGGCCAAGAGGTTATGGGAATCTTTTTAAAATCATCAAATGGTATATAGATTTGGGCTATACTAGGGAGGAAGCTATGAATTCTATCCCCTCCCAGCTAATTTTTTTAATTTTCAGCTCCTTTTTAAATTTTTTGGAGGAACTTAGTTCCCGCCAAAATATTTTATTATTTTTTTTAAAGTTTTAAATTTGAATCACTTTTCTCTTTATTGTTACTTGCTTGTTTTAGTATTATATTTGTTTTCATTTATGATCTTACGTAATATTACATTATACTTAAAGTTAAGTTTCTCAGATTTAAATTAATAAGGTTTTTATAGGGGAGTTATATAAAAACCCTTTAATTTTAAAATTTTAGATGAACACCTGAGCTTAGAAATGCCTTTAGCTCAAATTAAACACTTATGGCAAAATATATATTCAAATCGTGAGAATGAGGTATATTTTTGTGTATATATGCACGATTGATTTAAATTATAATTTAGATGCACATTGAAGATAGTCATTCAGATCCTAATTCAGATATCCAGGTAAAAAATATGTAGAAAATTGTTTTTCTTATAATTTTCAGCATATTTATATACTATTAATTATTTATTTAAATATTGTCCTATGATTACATATATTCATTTTATCAAAATAATGTCCTGTAATTAAATATATCAATTTTATTAAATACATTATTTTTTTGCTACATATTATATTGTCTAAAATTTAGAACAAACTATAAATTTTTTAAAAGAATTTTATAATTAATTTAAATTAAAACTTAATATTCAAAACTATAAAAAAGTGTGACATTGTAATAATGAATTAAAATTCATAATTTTGACACTATGTTTTGTGAATATTGATTTTCTAATGATATCATTCAAATTAGTACAATTCTATTATAACCTATTAAATATTGCAAATAAGTTTATGCTCATTTGTTTTTTTCAATATTATCTTAATTTAAACAAGGCTATGTACATTTCTATTTCCTTTGAATTGCAAAACATTAAAACACTATTGATTTCCATTTTTCTTTTATATTTTTTCTCCATTTACAATTAAATAAAGATATCACTTATTAAAATATAAAAAATAATTACATTATATATTTAAATCTCAAAACACATGGAATTATAATTTATACTAAATGACTATATCTAAGATTTTGCTTCTTTTTTTTTTAAATGGGGGGGGGGGGTTCAAAAAAATAAATCACATAATATGGGCATGACTAAAATATGAGTCCCCAAAAACTACGTGCCCCCTATCAAAGAAGCTTAATTTAAATTATATTATTACAGAGTTGTATTTAGCTTCATAAGATGAGTTAAAAAATGTTTTTTTTTATTTAAAAAAAATGGCAACATAGTAAATTTTTTAAAAAATTATTTTTTTACATGACTAAATATGCGCCCCCTATCAAAGAAGCTTAATATATAAAAAATGAATGCAGAATCATATATAACTTATTAAAAGGAATCAAAAAATGTTAATACTAAGTTTATAAATTATTTATAACTTATTGAGATATTGAAAAAACACTTAATTTCTTCTTTTTTTGACTAAATTTTTAAAAAAATTTAGATATACCAGTGATAAACACTCCAACAATCTGCTCTTTTGCATATTAGCATGTTTCTATTAGACCTTGATTTCTTTTTTTCATTTTCTCATCTTTGGGAAATTCTACCAACCACTGTCTGTCAACAAATTATATTCTTTTGTGGAGCTAATGTTCGGATCATTTTTATAAATGAAGGATTTACAATTGAAAATGGCTGAATGCTAGCTATAATAAAAGCAGTTATTAAATTATCTAAAGTAGTTTGTGTTCAAGTCTGAGGTCTCTTGGCAAAAATATCAGTGGACAATGAGCCTAATACAATATTTTATTTAACAGATTTATTCTCCTTCTCCTTTTTTATTTTCATCAACAGTGTTTGATGTTTTCTCTTAAAATTTTAAATTACAATTGTAAACATTTATTTAGTATCTATACCCTTAAATGTTTTACAATGTTGCAAGTTGGGGTAATGCTAACTGAAATTTTCTTATTTTTTGATAAACATAACAATTTTACTATCAGAGATTTGTTTTCTATATTTTGAGATATTATTTTAAATTATGCTCTATAAATTAGCTATGGAAAAACAATGTCTGAACTTGCTGATGCTACAGTGATTATTACTTCTTCCTCTTCATCACTATTAATCTAAAATAAATTTTTAAAATTAGTTTAATAAAATGGAATTAAGCAATTCAATTGAAAATAAAAATGGCAGATTCCTTGAGATGCATTGTAATATCAAAATTTGTCTGGTTTATTGATAAACTCGGACATAATGTTTAATGAATATTTATATATATATATATAAGTTTTAATATTATATATATATATATATATAATTTTTTATTATAGTTGTTTTAATATTTTTTAATATAATATATATTTAATTTATATGCTCATATGAAAATTTTGCATTCAAGTATTTTATTTATAATATAAAAAAGTGTTAAATAAAAGTATATCTAAATGTATCTTAACAGATACTTCTAAAATAATATCTAGATATAGATATAGATACCACATTTTTATATAGATACTTTAACAACTCTGCTAATTTTATTAGACATCAAACCCATTATATTCGGTAAGATTAAATCATCTTCATCTGAAGAAATAAATAGTATTAACATATATTATTTATAAAATAAATTTTATATAAATTAAAATACCTGATGGTTCAATAGATTAACATCCTGACTGTATAAATTCAACAAAAATGTAATATATAAAATAAAAATGAAGAACTTTGGTGGTTGATCTGAATTAAAAACTCGGCTTAAGTTATTTATAAATATATTTTCACTATTTTTTAAGAAAAAATTATAAACAAATAACATTTTGCGTTAATGTTACTCAAAAAAAAAAAGGAGTAACTCGTTACACTTTGAAACAAGACCGAATGGCGTTTCTTTTTGTTGGAAAAGGTAACGAAACAACGTTACTTTACAGCACCAATTTTTTTTTTTTATAAAATAACTCTTTATTTAAAAATATATATTAATTTTATGCAAAAATAAACCATCTTTTTTAATTGTTTTAAAATGATTTATAAATTAAAAACTTTAAAATGCTGGAAATTTTAATGCGGGTGAAATTTAAAAAATGCAGGAGGAAGATCTCTGCGTTAAAAAATCGGGATTCTCTTACTTATGAGAGGAGGCCTGCTATCAATAGTCTGGTAACATATTAGTATGAATTAGAGGTCTGCAATGGGCGGGTTTAACCAAATAACCCGCCCACTCGTTGTTTTAAAATATACCCTGACCGCTCGCCCATTTATATATAAATTTTGTTTAACCCACTTGCCTAATTTTTAAAAATTATTTTAATTTGAATATTATTATAAAATAAAACATTTATTTTTAATAAATTAAAGAGTGTTTTGCTCATTTTTATTGAAAAATGTTAAAAATTTAACAGGCCACTTCCGCCCATAACTTTCAAAATATTTTTAACAGCTCATCACCCGCCCTATGTTAAGAATATTTTAGAAAACCCGACCATGCACGCCCGAGGACGTGTTAAAAACTCGCCCATTGCAGACCTCTAGTATGGATATCGATAGTATAGGTTTATATTGGATCTCTGCTTAAAATATTAATGGCCTACATTTTAATATAATATTTTTTCTTATAACTATCCTAAAATTATAAACTCTTCAAATAACCCAATTTATAAGCAAATTAAATAATAAAAATTAATTATACCAATTGTAAACAAAAAAAAATTGAAAACACGTTTTACAAAATATAAATACTCGTCTTCGTCTACTCGCTCTTAAAAATATCAAATAAGGTTTATTTTTCTTTACATATTTTTATTGCGATTTATAATATAATATATAACTTTAGTATTTTTATAATTCTAATTTGGCGTCTATTTTTTAAGAAATCTAAAAAAAAATTAGAACCCTGTTGTAAAATTATGAAAAAAATTTCCTCTCTTTTACCAAAATTTTTTAAGACCCGGAAAAATAAGGGTTCATTTGCTTTTGATATCAAAAAATTTAGTCGATTTGTTTGTTCAAATTGGAACTCGCGTTACATTAAAAAAAAATCTACAAATTCTAATTTATTATCCTATCTTCCAATCAATAAGGATGACGAAACGATGCCTCAAGAACGCATAGTTGATTTAGCGGATTTAGCGAAAACGGGTTACTCCAAAGCAGACCCTTCTCAATTTGAATTGCTCAAAGTTTTGGGACAAGGATCTTTTGGAAAGGTTAAATATTAAATATAAATTTATCAATAAGCTGAGGACATAAAAGGATAAAGGTTCTAAAAGCTGCTCATATTGGCGTAATTACTAACTACCTCCATATCATTGGGGGAGAGGGGTGGCATTAGAAGTGGGATGAAAATTTCCCAAAATTGTAAAATGAAACCGACAAATAATAACACTAAACCGAGCCCTGGCCTAAAAATAAAATCGGGCCGGGCCTGGGCTTAAAAAGTTAAATATAATTCTACTTAGATTTATAAAATAAAAAATATAATCAGAAACTTCTCTGGGGTTAGGACGAAGCATATTTTACATTGTTTAACCTTTAAATGCTGAAATTATACTTTTTACAATTAAAAAATTTAAAGATCTTTGTATTCTCTTCACTGACTTTGTTGAATTTTAACTAATATAATTATTCAAAAAACAATCATTTTTTTTCATAATATAATTACTAAATATCGAAAGAGTTTAAGCAGATTCAGGACTCTGTTTCATTGACCCGAGATTTTTTAAATACAAAGTTTTAATTATTTTAGTACACGTTTTTTTAAAAAATTTTGATAGATGTCATTCTAATCCTACCGGAATTATATTTTAACATGAATTCTAGACAATTCTATCATGAATTATTGGTTTCTTTTTTAATTTTTTTGATAAAAAATTTAATATAAAAATTAAAGGTAGTTTAAAAGTCCCATATTCATAATTGTTTGATATTCCTAGGGTTAAGTACTCTGTCTGACACATGTTAGAATACATTTCCGCCATCATCAGGTATCTTTCAAAATTCAAAAAAAAAACCCGCGCTATATTTAATATGTGAAGATTTATTAAAAACCCAGATTTTTTTTGTCTTATATACTTTAAGATTTCTATGCTTAATATAGATCATTAAAAATATAGTATTGTATAAATTAAATTTTTTAGACAAATTAAATTATGGTCATAAAAAGGTAGAGTATATAAATAATCTTAGAATTAAGCCTCTTATTTTTTTTATTTATAAAATTATATACTACCTAAATGACAAAATCTTCCCATCATTATTTTTTTCCATTTATTACCTATACTTTTACTTTGTATTTTTTTAACACTTTTTTTGTTTCCAAATAAATTTTCATTTAATTAGAAAAAAATAAATATACCGATTTCAATAAATAATTATTCCGCCGGCATCTTTTTTATATCAAAGCTGAAATAATTAAGAATATTTGGTTATTGGTGTTTAGTTAGTGGTGGGCTTCTCTAGGTTTAACTCACAAACCTACGAATTATTTAGGTAGAGTTTTTAAAAATATAAAACTTTTGGCAAATTGTAAAAAAATATATAATATAATATAATATACTCTATTCGCGTTATATATGTGTAAATGTAATAGTTCAAAGATGTTTTATACACTATGGAAATATTGTATTAGTCATTATAACCTTTACTTTTGAGATCTTGGCATTTTTTCATAATCACATATTGTATTTTTTTTGAAGTTACGTGATCATATTTTGTTGTAAACATAATTAAAACTTAGCAAACTTATTAAAATTTTTTTTCTTAAATTGTTTGGGAAATGGGAAAATGCGCCATTCCGGTTCGGACGAATACCGGAATGTTATTGGGAAAAAATATTTATTAATAATTTAACTTGTTATTATCTCATTTAATTTATATTTTAATAACTTAATCATATAGTATTTTTTTTAAATTATTGAATCTCAAAGACTAACTTTTAAATTTGTACTCCGGAAGCTGAGATGTAACTTGAACTTTGAGAAAACATATTTATATTCTCGCTTGGTTGCAAGGACTGGCTAATAATACTCTATATACATTGGGAATATGTGTTTGATTTATCTAGATGATATGGATTTTATATTTGAGACATATAAACCCTTACTTGCAAAGCCATTTAAGAATAATGGATTATCAACGCTCAAGTCTAAACTTACACACAAGTATCCCACCCGAACCGTAACAAATATAGGTTTAGGTTCAGATAAAAATAATGATTCGGTTAAGAAATAATAATATCGGTTCGGTTTGAACCTTTAGAAACGGGTAATTTTTACTATTTCCTAAAAAAATAATATAGAGTTCCACGCATACAAATAAAATATTTTTAAGATTCTCATCTGTCAAATTTTTCTATAAGAGGAAAGAATTAATTCTTATGTTGAGGATACTTCTATTCGCTAACTTGGGTAGTTGGGAAACCTAATACAAAAATATCTAAAAATATTCTTTAAAGAAGTTAGGATATCATATCAAACTAGTTTACAGACCGTTTTAGAGCTTTCAAGTTCGGATAGCAACATTTTTTTAACGGTTTGAGTTCGGCAAAATAATAACGGTTAATACCGGTTTAACGATTTAGGTTAGGTTTGGATTCTTGTTAACACATACCCATACCTCAACACACTAATATAAAATATAATCTTTCAGGTTAATATATTAATGATTCGATGCAATAAAATAATTGAATCGAAATATAGATTACTAAATCACACACAAATGTATTTTAATTAAATACAAACATATAACTTGCGTTAATTCTTATCTCTGGTATTCAGGAAGTTATAAAACCGGACAAATTCATATAAATGTTTTTGACAATATTAAGTTCACTTTATGTATTATATATAATAAATTTTTTATTATCTTTTATGTTCATTGAATCAGTTTTATAATATTTTTTAAGATTTGAAATCTTTATTTTACTATAACATTTAATATATTCACTTAAGTAAAGAATGAATTGAACGGAATTTTTTTTAATATAAATTATTATTTTATGATTGAATCTCTAAAAATAAATATAGGCCAAAATTTATGAAGTTAGGTTTGCATGATACCCTCAAGCACACCAATTTTTTTCCAATGAAAGATCGAATTAAGAAGAGTTAGAAAAATCATGGCAATTTCTTTAACTAAGACATGGACAAACTATTTACTGTTGATATGTGAAATTAACAATTTTCCACATTTTTGCACAAATATACCATTTTATATTATAGAATTAATTATATCAACTAAAATGCCTTGATATGATCCTAACATTGAAAAGTTCATTTGTTAGATTCTTATATAAAAAATGTTTTTCGTTCGAGTGCGGTGGTAAAAAAAATGATGTTTATTACAATGAATATGAAAAATGAAACATTTAAGCAGTTAAATGAAACTGATATACCAATTTCCAATCTTGATATAAAAATAATAAATAATCAATTATATCAAAATTTGGATTTAGGCTTGTTTTTTTAGAAAAGTTTCGTTCACTGATTGCTGAATAAGCCCGTAGGGAATAGCAAAAGCACTTGAGAAATTTGAATTAATATTTTTCTGGGCTTCTCAGCCCGGCCAATATTTTATCAACGTTTTTACACCTAGCTTCACATGGCTCTCAATTTTCGGGCTAAGCTCAGGCCTAAGTCAGGACAGGACTTTAGTCTAAAAATATTTTTTCAAAAAAATTCAATTTGCAGGGCTCAAACTCTAGGTCTTGTTTTTTATAATACAAACTTTATGAAATTTATATTTATAAAATGTTTGTTTTGATTATTCAGGATCTGACGATGCTAAAATATTTTTTAAAATTCCATTTCCCCATTTTGTGCCAAACGAAAAATAAATTTATAAATTTTTTAATTAAAATAATAATCATATTAATAGATGGGGTGATAAAGTGAAAATAAAACTAATTAAAATTTATAGATAATATATTAAATTATAAATCTTTAAAATGAAACTAACTAACCATTAATAATTTCCACACGAATCCCTAAATTTATTTATATTTCTTAATAACCGACCATTAAGACCAAATATTTTGTTTTATTCATTAGTTTTATAGTAATATTTATATTAACCCTTCAATACTCCGGTGAAAAAAGAGACGTAAAGGCTTTGTGAGGTCAAACCTTATAAAATATTTGTTTATTATAATATGCTTAGTTAAAATATATAGTATAATCCGATTATTACATCTGAAAGCTCAAATTTGAAATTAACACGATTTTTTTCACTTTATCCTTATAGTTATTTCTACCAATGGGTCTCTAGGTCCCCTAGGCTATCATTTTTTTAAAAGATTTTAGGCAAAAAAATCTCAAATTAATGGTGTGATCATGGATCCTCTTTTAAAATGTTACAATCAACTCAAATCGCTGTGTTTCGAAGCAACTATCTTAGTTTCCTCAGATCTCAATAATAACCCCCCCCCCCCCCTCTTTTTTTCAACTCTCCCCCCTGTTTTTTTTAAAACTTAATTGTTTACTTATTTTATTTTAAATGTCATTTTAAATTTTTTTAAAATGTTATTTTAATATAGATTATACCAACATTCTAAAATAGAGTAAAAATTTAACTCGAAATATTAAGTACAAAAAAATTATTGGATATTGAAACCGACATTTCATAAAATTATTATATATTAATTTTAAAAAATTTCCTATCATAACTAAGGTTTTAAAAATTTTTAGGAATTTACTAGTAGGGTCACATACCGCATTATTCACGAAATGCTTATATCTTAAAAGCTACTCAACCAAAAAAATGAAATTTGGAATATACATTCCAAGATATGTTTAATAAAGTGACTGAAGATTCCAGATCATAATAATTAACCATTTTTTTATAATATAAATTCTAGCATACCTGGGGTTCAATAGACTCCACTGGAGTATTGAAGGATTATTCCTAAAATCTAAACGTCGAAGCCATGCCACCTAAGGTTTGCAATGTTCAGATTTTTAACTCGCCCGCCAATGGTTTAAAATACCCATCCATTTATTTAAAATTATTTGATTGGTTGGCCTCTATTTATTTTATTTTTATACTTTTTATTTATACTTTATAAAATATGCAGTATTATGAAAATATAATTTTTAAACATAAGCCCATTCTACTAATTTTTCCCCAAATTATTTCAAATTTACCATCCTGCTTGGCTGCTTGAAAACTACTAATGCCTAAACATAGATAATTGAAATTATTAGGGTTGTATATTTGACTGGTCTAATTTATTCGATCAATTGACCAATATTTGACCAATAGTATATGGTCAAATTCAAATAAATGTTTTTTAAAGACAAAATTAACGTTATTTTGGTATAATATTAAAATTAATCTGAAATATTAAATTTATTTTTAAATTCATTGTCATCCTATAATTAATGTTTCGCTCTCCGCGGCAGAGTTGTTTTGACTCATATTCAATATCATCATTTTCTTTAATATTTTAAATAAATTTTCCTGTTGTCGAGGTCTTCAATCGATTTCTTTTTTTCGTAGTTTTGACCAGGTCTAATATTCCTTGTCAATTGATTTACTTGCCAACACTTTATTGATAATAGCATAAAATTCTAAATATGTAATTTAAATAATAATATATAGCATTTTAACACCATGTAAAGTTGCAAAATAATCTTATCTAAGCAATTGAGATATGGCATTGTTAACATTTTTGTGCTTATGGATGGGGGAAAGGCAAAGAGGGTTTAAAATTATGATTTTAATTTCGTCTTAAATGTGGGTTTTATGATTATATTGGTTCATCATTTCATTTATTTGGAGACGCTACTGATTTTGAGCCAACTCCAAAAATACCAAACATTCACATTTCGATTTTGACAATTTTGCAAAATTACTTACATAATGTAATATATAAATTATTTTTATAAATTTGATCCATTTTTTTCTTTTAAAAAATAGAAATATTAATGACTCATAAATTTAAACACGAAACTTCGGTCATTTCATTACCCACGTGGTAAATAAAAAAATTCCTAAACAATATTACTGACAAAAATACCAGGACTAAAAAAAGACACTGGACAAAAATACTCGAATTTTAATAAATTGTTTAACTGCTTAGAAAAGGAGTAATTTAAATAATTTTTTATTCTTCTACGCCTGGATCTCAGGGTAAGAAAATTCGAGATATTAAAAGTGATAAATTTATAATAATCTGATAGTATTCTTAAATTTCTAAATGTTTATATCATAATAGTATAATTTGTTCATTATTTTTTCGAAATAAAATTATCAATATCATTTTTTTTACCTTTTATGATTTCACTTGAAAATCTCCGCATCTAATATCAAATTATCCATTTATTCGAAAAATAGTCATACTGAATAATGGACCAATCAGAAACGAATATGAATCGAACAATGAATTATTCGTATTCGATTTTTTTATTCGTAATTATACTAATTGAATGAAAACGAATACGAATAGCAAATTATTTGAACCGTTCAAAAAAATATATTAATTTTTGAATAGGTATTATAAATTAACCCATATCTGTCCTTTTATGATCACGTCTGAAAATCCTTTGTCCGGAAAATAGTCATTACTGGATCTATGTTTTTCTTCTTCTTTTGATGGAAAGTCATTTATCGTCAACAAAAATATTAAAAAATTGGACTGTAAATATTTTGGTCCAGGCCTCGAAAAAATTAATAATTTTTTGAAAAATAAATCCTTTTTTAAATATTTAAAAATATAAATTGGGTTATTTTTGTCCGGTGCTTATTGCCCCTGATTTTTTTGTCAAATTTATTTCTATCCCATTGCCAAATAAAAAATAGATAATGATCATTTTAACATTTTTTAATTGCTAAAAAATGCATATATATACAGTTGAACTACCAATATTGACCATTCTTACATTTTTTCTACCTCTATAAAGTAACCAGTCATTATACGTCAATTTTTAAACTTTATTTATACAAAAAGTATCCTTTATAATGAACTCAAATTCTTTTGAATGGCTATTTAAAAAAGTTTTCTTATATATAGTTGGTCCGATTCTAAATAGTAAAAACAAAGATTTTTTAAAATTATCTTTTGTTATTAATGTAAATAATTTATTTCGTCCTATTAATAAAAATGATAATTACTATATCGATCGTTTTACACAAAAAACAATTCTTATTCCTGATATTAAACAAACGATAATTTATTTACTCAATTTATAATTTTTTATTTCAGGAGGAAAGAAATGTTAATAAAAAATCGGGATTTGGTAATATTTTGCGCAAACGAATGTTTATAACGGTTATTAAATTATTAAATTGTTGAAACTTGCTCTCACATTAAAAAAGGTTAATAATAAATATCAGACCCCTATAGGCCGACCGCGGAGTGAGCCTATAAATTCCACAGACCTATGATTTGAGAAGCCAAAATTCTAACTAAATCTTAAAATTCTGGACAGGGCTTGAAAAATTGATTGTTACCTTCACTACATGTGACATTTTATTATAATACAATAATTCTTATTTTTTTTATCTCAATTCCCTAAGTATTTTGTGAGAAATAAAATATATACTTTCTTTTCAAGGTTTCGGATTTTTATTTGTATATCAATTGCAATATACATAATAATTTCGCATTTATAGTAGCTATAAATCATTGAAAATAAAACGATACAAAAAACTTTAAAACTATATAAATATCACACACAATGACAACGAACATTATTTTTCAATTGTATCAAATTAAAATTTAAACATACTAATTAAAATTATACATGGAAGAATGAAAGAAAAAAATGAAAGATAATAATTCCATGAAATTTGATTCAAAATGCTCTTAAAAATTTCTCTTTAAAGTTTAAATTTTAAGCTTACATATATCCTGATTTATATTGATATGTTTTAATTTTTAATTGTTTAAATATTTCTTCATATTTACCAAAGAAACTATGTATAGTAAATACCATATAATGTTATTAAAAGGAATTATTTTAAATAAGATTTCGAATTTTGTTGGAGGATTAATAAATAATTTAACTGCTCTAATTTCCGCTTTTGATGGCTTTATTATTATTTTTAAATAAATTTAGATTTTCTAAAATGAGAAAAAATCTCATTTCCTTCCGGCCTGAGTCAATTTCAGGATACCGACGGACGTAGACCTATCAAAAAATATGTAAATATATATGCGATAAGAGGTAGAAATGGTTATAAAATATAAATTAAATCATAAAATAGTAATATATTTCCAGGCATTTAATTTTTTTTGTTTTAAGCTGGGACGATTTGTCCCCTTGCCCCCTTCCCGCTGCGTACGCGCCTGTCAAAAATTTAAATTATTCAATCTAAAATTATAGAATAAACTATTATGTTTTATTCGAGATTCAAAAATCATTTATTATAAGAGTAATACAGAAATGAGTTATACGTTTATTGTAAAAAGCGAAAAACTAATTTATAAATCAATAATTTTATATATATTATATATATTTTTTTTACTTGTAGCTATCATAATTTAAATTACATTTAAAGGTATTCCTGGTACGTAAGGTGGTCGGTTCTGACGCGAAAACCCTTTATGCCATGAAAGTCCTCAAGAAAGCTTCCTTGAAACGTACGTTATCATTTAAAACATCCATAATGACCTTTCCAATTCTATAGAGAATATTTTTTGAATCTAGATCGTTAAACGACTTCGATAGTCGCAATATGTTAGGACCTTTAACATTGCATATTTACATGTTTTATTATATTGATGTTTTTTGTTTTGATTTTTATATATACAGTGAGAGATAGGATTAGGACGAAAATGGAAAGGGATATTTTGGCCGACGTGCAGCATCCATTTATAGTGCGATTACGTTACGGTATTAATTGACAATATAGTATTTTATTTTTAAGAAAATTCAATTATCTTACTCAAAAAATTGCGTTCAAGCATAATAATTTTGTTTTAATGCCCAATAAGGTTGGACATGAAAATAAAATATTAATATACAATTACATTATTAATAAACTTAAAATGACTTAAAAATTGGAGTTTTATTGTCACCAAATGAGATGTAAAATTAATACAATTTTTTATTTTCCTAATTGGGGTAAACTTTTAGTCAGGTATATTTTAAGATAATTTTAACTTTACACTTTATTTCTACGAAATGCTTTTTCTGAAAAATTACAATTGCAGTCATTTTAAAATTTAGCACATTTCGCCTGAAAGTCCCAAAACATCAAACTAGATGCAAATTTATTAGTAATCAACGAATATCATGGGAAATTTGCATATTTCGACTATAAATGCCAAAAAGTGCCAAAAGACCAATTAATGGCAAATAGAAATGAGTAGAATTTAATGTAAATGAGCAATCAAATATATAATAGAAAATTAATATTATATAACCTTTTCGCCTAAAAGCTCCAATATCTAATACCATTCGCTTTTTGCTCTACATTTTTAACTATTAAATTATGCTCATTTGCAATTAAATTTAGTCTTTTGACGCTTTTAGGCGAAATGGCTATATATATATAATAATTTGTTATTGCATTTATTCATTTACTATTAATATTAGTAAATATGCCCAGTTATTATTAAGTCTGGTCTTATGGACAAAATGATTATAAGCGATACATCTATAAACAAAACGCATCACAACCAACGGTCACTACTTTATTAAACAATTAATAATATTTTTAAATTTTATTAATAACAAGAAAATGAAAAGTTATTTTATATGTAACTTCTAAATAGTAATAATAATTTCAAAATTTTGGCACGGATTTAAATATACACATATTTTTTAAAAAGACAATAATAATATTTTGAAATGCATCCAATTTAATTTTTTTAGAAATATCAAACGATTAAAATTTTATATATAAAAAAAATAAGGATTGCTTAGAATTATTTAAATGCTTATACACCATAATTTTTCTATGTCCTGAAGATTGCACTAAATTTTTTTTTCATTCTTTTTGTCCTTATTATAATATTTTAATTTTCCCTTTTGCGCAAAAAAATGATATATCATTTTGCTAACTTAAATATATTTGTTTTTTGTGATATCTTTATCTTTCAGAAATTATTGATTTTTAAATCGTAAAAGTGACTAGTCTTTTAGATCTAATTCCACATAATCAACTTTGTTCATTAAGAATTGACCAAACTAATATCATCAAATTAAATACATTTAATATATACAATAAAAGTTACCTTCATTTTAATTAGAAAGTTGTTCTAGAAAAATAATGCATACTTATCCTCAAAAAATATTTGATATTAATTTATTTTATGTGCTGGGTCTGAACCAAATTTTAAGATATTTCGGGCCGGTCTCAGGCTTAAAAATTAATTTAAAAATCGGGTCTGAAATTCAAAAAATAGCATAGAAAAGTGTTTTCTCCTGTTTTTATTATAATACAATTATAATGAATTTATTGTTAAGGATATAAAGCAATTATTAATTTTTACTCCATTTAATTTTATAAATTAATAGTCATTCCATAAATTAAGGGTCATTCCATAAATAAGAAAAAAAAAGAGATTTTCGGCCTACCCCCTTCGATTTTTTAAAAACTTGGTAAGCAAAGAAAGGTTAATATAACTAAAAAATAGCCAAAATTTTTGCCTCCTAACATTTATATTTTTAAATTTAAAAAAAATCGAAGGGGTCGGCCGAATCGGAATGACTCTTAATTAAAATCGGGTTCCGACCAAAAAAGTGAATTTGTAAGGCTCCAATCTAATAGTTCATGAAATATTGCACAATTAAAGTAAATTTAAAGAGGCTAAACCTTAATTTAGGATATATTACATGAATATATTGAGTTTAATTTTTTGGGATTGTTTACCAAACCCTGGCCATTAACGGATTTAATTTTTTTTAAAAAAGGTTAAAGAAGTAAATAGTATTTTTTATTTGATAATGCATATACCTTTTTAAGATAATTTTTTATTCTATATATATATGTTAACATATTTTTTTTATATAAAAGCATTTCAAACGCAGGGGAAACTCTATCTTATTTTAGATTTTCTTCGGGGCGGAGACCTATTCACCCGATTGTCTAAAGAGGTTGCCCTAATTTTTTTATACCAAATATATATGCATACAATTTTATTCTTTTCAGTAATATATCTAGGATTTTATTTGGAACATAATTTATGAAGCCTTTATAAATATATAAAATTTAGACATAAATACACATGACATGCCCTAACTTAAATATCGTAATACTTTGTCACAATATACTACCTACCCGTTCCTTATAGCTTGTAACATCACAACATAAAAAATTTTATATTCATGTTTTAAGGTTATGTTTACGGAAGAAGATGTAAAATTTTATCTCGCCGAGCTTGCACTAGCTTTGGGTCATTTGCATAAATTAGGCATTATTTACCGTGATTTAAAACCTGAAAAGTTAGAAAATCTCATAAATTTGCTTTAATTTGATATATATTCTTTCAGAGACTAGCATAAATTTAAAAAAAAAATAAACCCGTGCTGGGTTTAAGTATTTTTTTTAAAATATCCTGTCCGGGACGAATATTTAAATCGCGATTATCATAATATCTAATATATGGAATTTTTTATTATAATTTGAATAATATAAATGTATATTACTTACCCTTTTTTTGTAAAAGTTTCAAAACCTTATAAATTTTAAGCTAAAATTTATTCACTCCTCATATTTCTTATATCATTTCAAAACCATTATATCAAAATATTTTTATACACCCAGACCGGGCCGAAATTTTTATTTTTTTTGTAAATCCTGGCCGGGTCGCCGTGCAATTGATACCTCTGCAGGTCTCTGATTTTTTTTAATTTTTAGGATAAAGAAATGTTTAACCTTATCAACTTTTTATTTTTTTAAATAGTATCGAGATTTTTTGCACTAGAGTTATTATTTTTTTTTAGTTTTATTAGTATACTACATTCATTTATTTATATAGAATATATATCAGAAGATTTGCAGAAGTCAAAAAATATAAATCCGGCTGGGATTTTTTTTTAACCAAATTCGGATTGATTATTTTTGGGAATTGATAATTTTACGGCCCTGCCTGAATTTTTAAAATGTCATTATTTTGAATAATTTTTGGCTGTTTTTTATAAATTGTTAAGGGTAAATGCAATAATTTAATTTTCTAATCAGCATAGCCCGGGTTTTTGATAAAATATTATGGTTTGGCCCGTATAATCGAGCCTGGCTTTGGTCTTGGCCTAACAAGTCTGATATATAATTGAAAATCAAAATCAACTATATTCTTTTGAGCTAGCTTTTATAATTTATTCCTCCTTATTTAAAGTATCCTATTAGACACTCATGGTCACATCAAACTTACCGACTTTGGACTCAGCAAAGAAGCCCTAAACCCGACTAATTCTTCCTCGTCTATCTCCTCACATTCCTTCTTAGCATCAAATACAGATAATATTAATAATAACCTAAATACCAGCGACTTAAATAATAACAATAATGTTCAAGATAAAAATGGTACCATCACATCTAGCTCAATCATTTATCAAAACTTTAATCAAAATAATAACCATTTATCAGAAAATAATAAAAATCCGAATCAAAACCATAATCAACCGATAACACTCACAAACGGAAATACAAACAACGATACATCTAAGGCTTATTCATTTTGCGGGACGGTCGAGTATATGGCTCCCGAAGTTATCAATAGGAGGGGTCACACGACCGCGGCTGATTGGTGGTCATTCGGCGTTCTCATGGTGAATATAGTTTAATCAGTGGAAGGGGATACGGTCTGTTTTTAATTGAATAATTGTTATGAATGATAAATATATAGTTGGGTAGGTTTAAAGAGGGATCTAGGCATTGAAAAGTAATTTTTGTTTCTAAAATTCTTATGTTTTTTATAAATAATTGGTATATTATATTTTATTAAAATATTGTGCTATATTTTTTAAATGTAAATTTTTTTATTATAAAATGAAAAAAAAATAATTATGAATTAGTTCGAGATGCTTACTGGTTCATTACCCTTCCAAGGTGCTGATAGAAATGAAACCATGATGCAAATCTTAAAGTAATATTTTTATAGATCTCTAAATTATAAAATTACCCAATTCTTTATTTGTTTTTTAAATTTGGAGCTTTGAAAGCTCCTCAAGTGCGCCTAAATTGTTCCAAATTTAAATACTAAAATTTATAATCAAGTATAAAAAAATATAAATTTATTTTTGTTTGACAGGGCAAAATTAGGGATGCCACAACTTTTGAGCCCAAATGCTCAAAGTTTGCTACGGTCCCTGCTTAAAAGAAATCCGGTTAATAGATTAGGTATTACGTTATATATTTTTAAAAAAAATATTTAGTTAGCATTACGTTCACCACCCTATAAATCATATTATAATTGATACTCTAAAATGTTTAGCTTGAATCAATGATAAAACCTGTTTTTAACAAGTTTGAAGAATTGTTTTTTACAAATGGTAAGATCCAGCGTATCTACTGTTTTTTGAGTTTATTTGAAGTGTGAAAATATATAAGTGATGCTCTAGATGGTAGTAATATTTTAAGTGAATAAGTTTGCCTGCTCTAAAAATGCATCAAAAGTGTTAAATATTTTTAATTGGATATAATTATTCTGTTTTATAGTAATTTCATAAGTAAATTACTCTTGATTCGAGCGGTCTTTTTTATTATGTAAAAACCTGAATTGATTTTGGTAATACGTAAATAAGGTTTTGGTCTGACCGGAGCTCAGGCCATCAAAGATCATCCCTTTTTTGGTCATATAAATTGGGATGACCTTTACAATTACCGAATAGACCCCCCTTTCAAGCCCGCGGTGACAAAAGCCGATGATGCCTATTATTTCGATTCCGAGTTTACCAACAAAACTCCTCGAGGTTTGATTTTAAAGTACTTTTTTAGTATAAATTATTGTCCCTTCGATAATACAAAGTGTATTAACCAATTCCAACTTTGAAGTCATCTAATAAAACTAGTAAGCGCTATAATGTAACGGTAACGCATAACTTTAGGAAAAACATATTTATTACTGTTTAAAATATCGATTTTCACATTAATAATTGAGCAATTAAAAATAGTGAATTGCCATTTTCCGAAGATAGTATATTTTAGGGGTTCTGGTTTGGGTAAAAATAGTGAATTTTAGTTTTTCCTTTCTTTTATGGGTTATATTTTGGTCTTTTTATCTCAAATAAACGTATAATTATTCATGATCAAGATTCACCAGGTATACCCGCCAGTGCCAGGGCCCAAGACCTATTTAGAGGTTTTAGTTACGTAGCTCCTCATATTTTAAGCGAGGAACCTATCTCAACTGAACATTCTAATCATAAAAATGTTATGAATAATTTCCCAAATGGAGACGTCGTTAGCAATCATCAAATCAGCGAAGTTTATTATAATTCCCTTCATAAATGACAGCATAATCTATAAAGATTGACTTTAGAATAGAAAATATAGAATGACCTCTTGTTATATATGACTTTTATTAATTATCTATTTATAAGTTCACGTAGATGTACCGATTAATTTATTAACAATAATATAAATTAAAGAAAGAAGAAAATCGAGTAAAGATTTGTAAAGCATCTTAAAAAAATTTATTATTCATTTTTAATTAGATTGGCAAACCTACTTCCATATTAGACGAATACGATTTCAAAGAAGTACATTTAATTTTTTTTAATATGGACCTGCAAAAAAATTAATGCAACGAATGCCTTTTAAATTAATTTCTATCAATTAGATTTTAGGTACCGGTGCTTTTTCCGTTTGCAAAAAATGTGTCCATAAATCCACAATGCAAGAGTACACAGTTAAAGTTAAGCTCAACAATTTTTCTGATTATACTTTTACCTTTTTTTAAAATATATCAAATACATTTTTTTTAAATTAAGCATCTCAATTACATCGTTAGTTAATCATTTAGGCATGCATTCTAAAAATAAAAAAATTTCATCCAAAAGATGCTTTAACAAAGAAATGAAACAAAAAATGTTTATGATATGCTCAAATTGAATTTAGGAGGGTTGGGTATCCTTTTTTCTTTTTCTTAGTCGGACCAAAAATAACACACTTACAATAAATATTGTTATCTAACTTAATTTTTATAATCAAACAAATCAGATTGTAGACAAAATCCAAAAAGATCCCAAGGAAGAAATTGATATATTATTACGTTACGGCAATCATCCCAACATAATATCCCTGAGAGATGTAATATTAAAAATTATGATTAAATTAAATTTCGACTATTTGCCTAAAGAATAGGTAATTACACTTTAGTCAGAGTATAGATATTTCAATTTATTAAGATAGAAAAGGAATACAAACACCATTTGTAATTTTAAAAAAAATTGTTCATATTTGTTTCAAATTTTAGTATACTCCGTGTCCATAGTAATAAATTAATAGTTTTTTTTAAATAATATAAATGGACTACAAATTCTTATATAGATACCATTGAATCCTTGTGATTCGCGAAGCGGATTTGAGCGTTTTGATTTAAGGACGCGAAAGAAACACTTAATCTATTATTTCGTTATCTTAGGTTTACATCACGGAAAAAGAGACGTTTCTCGTATTAGAGTACATGAGCGGAGGAGAGTTATTCGACAAAATAATCAAGCAAAAATATTTCTCCGAAATGGAAGCCAGTTCGATTCTTTATCATCTCATGTCTGCACTAGATTATCTTCACTCTTACGGGGTTTTTTATAAATTATATCTTGATAAATCAAAGCCCTACCCGAAGTATTTAATCTAGACCTAGCCCGGGTTTATAGATTATTTTTTATTCTCCTATTCCGTCCAGGTTTTTCAAGTTTTACGGTCGGGGTTTAATATTTTCGGGCCCAATCGTGCCAGGCCTAAAGAACTCTAAAAAAGTATGATCATTTTGGATAGGATTATATATAGTTATATAGCATATTATGCTAAAACTAGGAAAGTAGCATTTTAAATTTATGAAGTAATTTCTAACCTATTAAAAAATGATATGAAGCTTTGATTATTTGTAAAGTAAATTCTATATATAATACAGCAGAACCAAATGTGAGCAGAGTTGATAGCCCTAAGATTTTGATACCTTTTTTTTGTCCCACCACAAACTATCAAAAAATGAATTTAAAATTTTTTTTCCCTATAATTATTATTTCATAAAAGCCAAATATGATATTCATTTTTTACACATAACATTGTTTTTTTTTGAGTCAACCTTCTTTGTAATGGCCCTTTCATCATTTATAGATAGATATTATAAAATTGATGAATAATGCATAAGTTTAGTCAATTTTATTTAAAGGGTTTATTTTTTTTAGAAATAAGTTTAATTATTTATCAAAATACACTTTAACTTATACCTCTTTTATTAAATGAAAATAATTTAAACCTTTTTATTATTAAAATAAACAATTGAAATACTCAAAAATTAGGTAGTCCATAGGGACCTTAAGCCTTCCAATATACTTTATTCCGAACGTTCACTCCAACCTCACACTCTAAAGATTTGTGATTTTGGTTTTGCTAAACAGATGAGAGCCCCCAGCGGCCTCTTAATGACACCATGTTATACGGCACACTTTGTTGCTCCAGAGGTTTTTTAAAAATTGTCTATTTAAAAAAGTGTTTTGCTTTAAGCTAAGATCATTTATTATGTATGTTGAATAATAACCCATGATTAATAATTAATGAATTTATATTTTCTGAGAAAAGAATCAAAGATAAGAATAACGTTTTAAAACGTAAAAGAATCTAAATGAATATTTGCGCTTATTTAATTTTCCTAATTTTAATTTAATAAAATATATAAGGTCTTAAAAAGGCAAGGATATGATGCCAGTTGCGATATTTGGAGCCTTGGTATCCTTCTCTACACCATATTAGCTGGGTGGGTACATGACTTATATTTTCTTTTCATTCATATATTTAAAAAGAAAATAAGAATAGTAGTGATAAATGATCATTCTGAATAGTAGTTTATTATATACATTTCAAAAAAGTTAAATTTAATTGAAGAAAATTGAAACTAGAAAAATTTAATTAAAATTTAAAAAATTTTTACTCAAGATATACTCCTTTTATATCGGCTAAAAATGATTCTCCTTCTAAGATACTGGAAAGAATCGGCGAGGGCAAAATATGCATTTCTGGAGGAAACTGGGAATTCGTATCACCTTTTGTTAAAGTAAGTATTTTTTTAGGATTAACAAATATAGTTTATATTTATGTAGCTAGCTAGTGTTTGATTTGATTAAAAATCATAAAAAACCTTTTTGATTATTACAAAATAATGAGATTTTTTAAAAAACTTTTAGGATCTCATACTTGGCATGTTACACATAAACCCACAACAAAGGTATACGGCGCCTAAGATTCTCAAACACCCATGGATTATGTATAGGCATACTTTGCCTCAAATCAGACTCGCTATTAATGATCCTTTATCTCTAAAGGTTAAAAAAAATATTTTCAATTTATAAATTTATTTTGAAACCCAAAAGGATGGTTTATTTCGAAAAATTACTATAAGTTATTCTCATAATGTTAGAGCCAGATTAATCTATTTAAATAAATTTAGAGTAAAATTCCCATTTTTAGAGAATAGTTTAACTTTTTCTTAAATAGAAAATTTTATTTACTTCACGTTTCTTGGATCATTTTAATGTCTATTAGAAATGTGAAAATAACTAGCATTTCAAATATTAATTAATGATTTTACACAAGTTATATAATAAATTTATTTAAACATTTTTTTAAGGAAACGGTCAATGCCACCCATAATGCAATAAATTGTAATATCAAAAGCATCTCGATAGGCCCCATTGAAAATTCTGTTTTAGCTCAACGTCGCAGGCATAAGGCTAAAAAATTGATAAATGCATTTATAGCTAAAAAATTATAAAATATACATTTCGTTGCTTAAAAAGGGGAACTTTTAATAAAATTATATCTATTTATTAAAAGAGTAATACCAATATGAAAATGTTAAATTGACTTAAATAACCTGAAGTTTGGAAAAATTACAATTTCATTTAAACAATTTTACAGATATTTTTTTCAAAATATAAAAAAATAAATACCCATCGAATAATTTAGATTAGGCCTTTTCAAAAACATCGAATCAAATAATGAAATATTCATATTCTATTCTTTTATATTATTCATGATTATTACCAATTAATTAAGAAGTGCAAATTTTATTATTCGTACAAATACCAATAGTAAAGTATTCTATTTGTTTTAAGGAATCGAATACGAAAAAATCATTATTCGATTAATATTCGATTTTAAATTAGATACATGAAAAATATTATTAATATTTTATAAATTGAATTTATATCTTACTCCTGTTTATAAAAGTCATCTTTTTTAATCACCGAATGAAGGCAGTAATTTAATATAAATTTAAATTGTCTCACATTTATGATTATTAGATTTAGTATGTAATAGAGGATCATATACTAACTGCTAAAAAAATATTAATACAATTAAAATTGATCCTTCTTAATTGTCAACCCGGTTTATACAAGTTAACATGATTTGATATCAATCAATTTTTTTTCCTTATGATTACAAAAAAACGAATATCATATCATTTAAACCATTGATAATATTTATAGCTTGAAATCATTCCGTTTTCCAGCAATACATTTAAAAAAACTTGATTTAAAGTTAACTGGCATGAAGAGCAATATTTATTATCTTACATATTTATAATACATTATATTATATAAAACTATTCTATATCAACCTTTGTTTATACCAAAATTTTACTTAATTTGTAATAATAGATTTAAATTTTTTTAAATTATTTTATATTTTATTTGTTTTTATTATTAACAATATAATATTTAAAATAAAAAAACTTGAAATGTATATAGAATTTTATAAATAGCGTTAAAACGTTTAAGTATTTATTTTTTTTAAAAATAAACTGAGGTGACTATAACTTTAAATTTACATTAACCTGTCAATTTTTTATAAGGTGATGTAAATATAGTTTTAAATTGCCATTTTTTTAAAATGAGATACTAATGATTTTCATTGTAATTGTTCCCAACCAATTGTTGATATAAATATTATTAATTAGTTTGAGTTAGAACCATAGCACCTTATCTCCTCCCACACAAAGACTGTTTAAAATCTCTGCACCCAATATAAAAAGAAAGATATCCGATTGTAGAACATTTATTTTTTCAGAAAAATAAAAACCAAGTGAATCTAGTTATGTCACTGTAGAATCTAAACCTAATTTCAGCTTTAAATGTTGATTGAATATAATATTGAACAATTAACTATGAGATTTATAAACTTATTTTGCTTCTTAGTCGACGGATCAAATAAATTTTTTTCTAATGCAAATCGAGAACACACCACAAATTAATAACAATGTAGAATTTTAACGTTTGTTAGAAATATTCGGTTAGTAAAAAGTACCAAAAGATTGTATTAGTCGGTAATTTAACTTTATTTTTGTTTGGATTACCACTGCCATTATTTTTAAATTATTTTTTTTCCCTTATAATACTACCCTACCCCATATCTGACAACTATTAATATTAACCTAATCTCGCCCGAATTAGTTTGAAAAAATCGAAAATGTCTATTCGTTCCATACTCCCTATAGTACTGTTTAACATGAACCGAAATCTTTAATAAACCCATGTAAAAGTTAAACTAAATATTTGTTAGGTGTAAGTATTTTTTTATTCTATGAAATGTACATTTTATGAATGATATTACAATGGAAATCGTATATTATGTAACATGATTGGATTTTTATTAAAATTCTCCCTTCGATCTACATCCCTGCTATAATTTGGACATGCGCCTGCGAAATTTATTCTTTCTCTTGGTCTGTGGTTGAATGACTTTCACCTTATGGTTTGAGCCGCTATTAATGTGTTGTTTGCCCCTTGAAGTTTTAGACACAGGAGTTTCATTCGAGGTCTCGGATGCAGAATTTGTTGAATATGATGTTTCATCATTCGTTGATGGACCTTGGGAAGTAGCCAAAGAGGATGCAGATCTATAACTCCTAGATGACGTTGACGTAGGTGAAGGCTCTGGAGCTTTCCTAATAATCTGAACCTTTTTCTTATCTTTTATTTTACTAAGTAAAAAAATAAATTGTGACGGAAGTTTTAAATGTTCATGGAATAAAAAGTATATATTATTTAAATAAAAAAAAACCTTAACTCGTTCAAAGGTTCATCTCGTTTAATAGTTTTTGGGTTTTCTGTGAGGTTTGCCTTACAATATATTATTTTTTTTAAAACAATTAAAAATATTAATTTTCTGAATTGATAATTAATATCTTACCTCAACAAAAATGGGATTCGCATGTATATGATATTTTATAATGATGTACCCAACAATCGCTAATATTGACATGATAGTACCTATTGTGCATACCGATATGATAACAAATAGGAATCGTTGGTTTTTTTGATGATTATTCATATTTAAATTCATAGCTTCAGGTGATTTATTGAGCGTTTTATTGGTTGTTATTTTTTGTTTGACCTCCACTCCATAAGGTTTCGAGTACTGATTAGCTATTATGATAGAAACGCCCATGCACAATCCTATAAGTACCAATAGAATTCCTATCAATCCAATAATGATATAATGATTTTTCTGGATATATACATGGTTAGTCCTCAACATAGATTATAAATAAATATATTTAAAAAAATTAATATCTAAAATAGAACTCAATTTTAAGTTCTAAATTAAATTTTTTCAATTTAATTTTATTAATTTTTTAACAATTTTAAATCAACATATATATATTTTTTGAAACATGATTAAATTTATATAAAGATACTAGAAAGAAATTCACATGGACTGCCAAAGCATACACTAAATTTTATGTTTGACCAAATTATGGTATTTTAAATATTGGCTATATAGCCAAAAAAGCGAAATAAAAAATTGAAAAAAAAACAAACAAAAATTTGAGAAAGAAATATATAGCAATGCAACCAAATACTTATAATAAACCAATACTTTTTAGCCTATGCTAAAAAGCTTTTGAACTAGGTCTATTTTGGGTTGTTTTAACTATTTGGTGTCATTTTTATCTTCTCGTTTTTTGGGGTTTTCCGCTTTTTTAATATTTTTTGTTTTGACTATTTAATGTATACGATATAGCCGGCTATTTAGTAATAAGTATATCTAAGACACAGCCTTAGGATGTATCCTGGTTCGGCTTATTATTAAACAGCCTAAAAAGAAAAATATGAAATAAAACAAAATCAAAAATACAAAAAAACTAGAAAATACATATGAAAAATAACAATGTCACCAAATTCTTCAAACCAAAATAGGGTGACTTAGTTCAAAATCTGTTTAATGTTGGCTAAACATCAATTAAGTATCAAAATGAACCAGGACAAAGCCGTAGGGTATTATAATACAATCCTTTACGTACACAATATATAAATATTTTTTCCTCAATTCATTCGAAGACTGCTAGACATCCATCATATAGCAACTACCATTCCAATCTTGAGCAACATAATGCACAATTCAGACGCTATTGGATCCAACGCCTTTTGTTTTTTGTTAGACTGGCTATTATAAACTATATATTGTGTATATAAAGGCTTTAAAATGATTACCGATTGTAACTTTTTATTGCATCGGACACCGCTAATTCTAAACAGTGGTTTAAACAATAGGGTATGATCGTTGGGTGTAGTGTGCAAAGGCACTCTGCTGCACCTGATTTTTCCTCAGTCATGACACTGGTACCATCGCTAACAAAAGAAATAAAAATTCAGAAAACAACGGATTTAAGGATTTTTTAGTAACGTATGAACTATCTCATCTTTCCATTCCAGTTCAATTAGGTCTAGAAATTTAAAAATAGGAAAATAATAAGAGAACGCCAAAACTAATTTTACATAAATAACCAAGGCGGATTTATTTGACAACTAGTACATTCATCTAACAAAGAGATAGTATTTTTCGATTGTAAATTGTAATATTAATTACAATTTTTATTTGCATTTCCTTGGCAATAAATTATTAACAAGGCAGAATATCTAGAATACAAAATGTGTTACCTATCTAAATCGTTGTCTCTTTTAAAGTAAATCTATTAACGATCCACAAATAGACCGTTCGATTTTGCAAGATAGTATGCAGTATCAATATTATATTGGTTTGTTTACCAATATGCTTAATCATTTTTAATGCATACTCTGGTTATAAAAATAATTTATATTTTTCATTTTTATTTATACACGTACAGGGCTAATCAAAACTGGTACAATTATCCTCTCTTTCTGTTGTATTCTTTTTTTAAGAACCAAATAATAAGGGTATGGGTTAATTTTGAATAAAAATATACATTTACATCAATATACTACTATTTTATGTTTATTTCATGATAAAAAATATTAATAGATATACCATTATAAAAGAAATTCAAATTTTTTTGGAAGGAGCCCACCGTAATCTCCTAATTTTATTAAAATTTTTGATGGAGGCTAAGTTTTTTTAAATCGGCGGGGGCCCTGCATGCCCTCACTGCCGATCGACCATATCCTTGTTCACAAGTCTTATGATTAAATCTCATATTCATTAAGTTTTTTGTTTTAGCAAATCTATCTTCGTGGGACAATGGTTTCATAACTCCTAATAATTATCCATATATTCTATCGAGGTCAGGACCAATAATTAAATTGGCGATTCATTCATTAAATGCATTTAAAAGTGTCCATACATAAGAGTCAGCTGTAACGCCATTTTATGGTTTGCATGTCGATTAAATGACAATAATGTGCATTTATATAATGAAAAATAAAGACAATTAATCGACGTGCAGACAAAATGAGGATATAGCTAACTCCTATATATGAATACTTTAAATTATTAAATTGTTAATCTAATATACATCATTGGTCGGGACATGATGAGGGTCATCGATTCTGAAATGCTACTTTACGTCAAAAATTAGCTTTTGAACCTTTTACTCGTTTGGAAATTAATATTTATAATTAATAAAGGTCTCTTTTGAATTCCTCATATTTATTTCCCTAATCTTTAGTGTTTTTGAGGAATCATACTCCCCAAAATTTTCAAATCTATTCAGTAGAAAAATATAAGAAAGGATTGGGGAAAAAAACAAGTCCCTTTTTTTAAAACAATAAACTAAATTATTTTTTTTATTGTTTCATAAGATAACTAGATATAAATATTTTTTGCATTTTAAAAACTATCGTTATTTTTATTTAGTAAATTATGAAATCCAAATTTTATAACGAATCTAAATGTGTTTGAATGTATTTTTTTATAGTAAAAAATAATGTTATTTTTATCATAGAACTCCATTTATGATAAAATATGCTAAGATGTATTTTTTTTGGGTCAATGGTTTAAAAAATTACCCTTTTGTATTTTCTTTTAAATCACGAAAGGACTATGATTAAAATAAAAGAAAGTTATTTATATGATTAGCTTGCAAATTTTATGATCAATCTAATTATGTTTAGATGTATTTTTTTGAGTTAATGGTTGAAATTTTTTTTAGTCACTTTGCTTCAAATCGCGAAAAGACTAAGAATGTTAAAGATATATCATTGAGTTTCAAATTTTGCTAAGTCTAAATATGTTTAGATATATTTTTTCTGCAACAATTAAAAATTTTTTTGACTAAGATATTTTAATAATATAAAGTTATCATATCATTGACTCCAAATCGAAATATGATTAGATATGTGTTGGTGTCACAGATTTAAAATTTTTTTGACACCTTTATCTTTTAAGGAAATATAGTTATTTATATCAATGTCCTTGAGAGGTACCAATGCAAGGTTCGGCCTTGTAAAAAAGTAAGTTTCGGCCCACCTGGATTATTTTTCAAAAAAAAATTTCGACCTTGTTTTATATTTTCAGGCCAGGCCCGGGTATTTAAAAAAATTTTTCGGCCCCCAGCCCAACTAAGATTTTTTTTACAACCCATGCTTAGAAAGTTTTTTTAATGGTCAGCGTTTATCAAAAAATTTCGGTTTGGATTTTAAAAATATATCTATTCGGCATTTTGAGGTTCGTTTTTCAGCAAATATGAAATCATAATATCTAATGGCTTTTAAAACTATCGTTTTTATTTTAAAATGATAGAAGAAGATTATTTTTCAATTTCCTGCCAAAAAAGTAATATTCTTTAAAAAATAAAATTTTTATTAAACATATATTATATAATATGCACTAATTCCTTATATTTATAAATAAGAAATATTAAAATTTTGCAACAATAACATGATTCATTATATTCAATTTACTATAAATATTTAGTATATAGTTATATATGTAATTTAGGTTTCTTATATTTAAAAATGTATATATTATATTGTAATAATTATATAATTTCAAAAATGTAATACTAATAATAAATATTAGCTCAAAAATTTTGATTTATATCGATTTATAGCATCTCTAGCTACAGATGTGAATTTTCTTCGAGCCATCAATCTTCGCCCCAATTTTTCAAAAAGTGCTGCATTTCTCTCAACGTACTTGGCGGCATCGTCTTCGATGATTTTAAGATTATCTGGATTTTTTTCGTCCAAGTGAAATTCTTTAGTCAATCGAGGGTTAAGCCGATAGTAATAATTATAAGGTAGCAGGTCAGAAAGGATAGAATGGGCTCCTTGAAAAGATTGTTAATTTTTTTAATATATTAAAATTATTATTTTAAAGAAAATAAAAATTCGAAAACAATTCTAAATAACTACTTTGATAGGTAACAAAATATAGACATTGATTAATCAATTTTCATTTTAAGGTGGCAAATATTAATTTGATTTCAAGTCCAGAATAAAAATAAGCTTTCAAAACCTTCGGTATCGGCTATGAATTGAGCCATTTTACTGAGCTTCGATTTGAGACTGCTATAAGTGTCGGGGGAGGATGGCTTGTCAAAAGGATTAAACCTACCATTACCGAGCGAAACAATGCATTGAACTCTTTCGCCAGGCCATATTAGTTTGCTTTCGTGTACGGCTATGGGGGCAGGGTTGTTCATTAAAACACCTCCATCCTTATTATATGTTGTGTATGCATAAAAAATTTTTTTTATAAATCATTAAATAATTAAATGTATGATTTGCCCTAGCATTTATTATTCCTTTCTTCTTATTTATCGAAATTATATTTTTAACTTCCCTTTTTTAATATTAATTTATTTAAAAAAATTATCTTATTATATTAAGCCAAAATTGTTTACATTATTTTAAAATGATAAACCGCCCTTCTTAGTTTCCTATTTATATAAAACTATCTCGAAATATCTTCTTCTATTTAAAAAAGTGCGTGAAAGAATCAAAAAAAATCTATGAATAAACAATTGTATATTTATTTTCTATTTTCATGTTTAAAAAATGTCAAGTAAATTTAAGGATGCTACCCTAAGATGCTTAATTAATATGGGGTCGACGTTTGAGTTTTACTTTTTCCAAGTTTTGCACATTAAATATGTAAAAATTATTCAATGTTATAAAAGATAAATGACATAATAATATTTTCTATTATATATTTATTTTGAAACACAATATAAACTATATAATAATTATGGGACGTAAAATGTATTTCGCCTAATTTCATTAATTTTTTTTATATAAAATAATTGTACCTATAGAAATATTAAATTTTGTATATAATCAAGTTCTTTTGGTTTTTCCTTATTACCATTTAAAAGGTCCTTGCTTTGTGTTATGACGAAGATAAGATTTTAAAAGTGTTAGTTTTGAAAAGATCGTTCTGTAGAACAAGAACAGTAGTAGTGAGTAGCATTTAGATAAATGTAACATATTCACTAAAAATGAAAATTTTTCTTTCATACTTTTTTTCTTTTAATAAAGAATATGCCCTCAAAATAATTTATGTGTGTTTTTTAGAGTTTACACACTAAAAACTTACAATGAAGAGTCAGATAATTCATTTCAAAAACATATCTGTTGAGGTGGTCAACATTATTAATATTAGTTTTAAATAATTTATAATAACAAAATTAAATTGAGTTGCTAATATTCGTTAACTTTTTGCATTTGATTTGATTAATTTTATATAATTGATATTATATACGTCTGAATTTTGATAAAATTAATATATATTGATAGATAAATTTTGATTTTAATTTTGTTAACATAGATTTAATTTTTTGATATATATTAGTGAAAAGAAACAACGTTAAATATTTTTCTTGATGTTAGTAGTTTTTCTTCTTTTGTGAAATAATAAAGTTTGATCAATGATTTTGAAAATAAGAATACTTAAAATATAAAGACCCAGCTTAATAATATTTATAAAAAGTTTGACACGTATTTCCATCAAGTTTTTTAATCACAAATTTTCCGTATTTATTAAAAATATTCCATTAGCCGTTTATTTTAAAAGCATTAATCATTATAGTAAAATCAATACCTTGTTACTAACTAAATTTAAATTAATCAAATCGGAAAATGATATTACAGAGCATGTTTAAGTTGAGCAACATTTAGATAATGGGAGGGGTAGGGTATTCAAGGTGTGCAAATTCGTTATATGAAACGAATCCATAAATTAAAATTTGTTTATATCATGAATTACAATAAAAATTCAAAACCTGCAGAATATATGGTCCGTACTGGCATGCCTGAAAATAACCGGGTGCAGATGCTGATGCCTGGCAGGCTTGCCATATGGTAGCATCGTATGTACCGGGGTAAAGTGATTCGCTGTTTAGTGGGAAATCGTAATTCCGAAATATGAAAGGTTTTGGGAGAGGAGTGTTAACTACAGTCGAAATTAAAGCTACCTTGATGTTTTGTTTAATAGATATAAATATTTTTTTTTAAATCAAACTTTCCGTCTCTCTTAATGATTTTCATTTTAAAAAAATTATAAGTAACGTTATAACGTTCTATAAAATTTGCCGGATCAAAAAGTCAAAATGTTTTGACTTCAAAACTTGCCGGATCTGTTTTTAAGACGGAAGGATCGGAACGGACGCATTATGAACATATATATCATTTTTAATGAGATTGACTTTTGACGGAACGGATGTAAAAAAAGGATCCGTCTCCACTTTGAATGCAGCCTAAAAGTTATACTTTCAAAAATAAACCTGTCATTAAATATCATTTAAGTTTAGGGGTAAAAAAATATATCAAAAACAGGTAACTCACTTAAACTCGGGAAATTTTTAATATTATTATTTTTTTAAATTGCGATTGTCTCGATATGGGTGGAAATTTTTGGTGTAATAATAATTCCAAGTTTCATTACTCAAATCAAGTTTTGAATTGCAAACTTTTTTCGTTCAATTGGCGTAATTTTAGATCTTGATGCAATAGGAATTTTTTTTAATTCCCCAGAACTGGAAGAAAATCTTCCTCACATTTATATATATGTGAATATACTTATTTTTGTAATATTAAAAATATGTCAAATTTAAGTAAATTAATTAAATTTTTAAATGATATAAATTTATAAAGAACTATTTATCTTTTTCCTTAAAATTGTATATATCTATATATTATTCGTTCATAATATATTATGTTTATTCAAATAAATTTCTTAATTATCTAGTATTTGATTTAATAGTCTTAACTTCGTAGCATACAATATAGCACAAGCTTTTTTAAAATTTTTAAATAATATACTTTATTTTTATATAAAATTGAAGAATTGTGAAAATTTTCACAAAAAAAATATATGGAATTCTTAAAACTTTTGAGTAATAAAACTTTGAATTATTATTACATCAAAAAATTTCCATCTATATCCATACGATCGCATATTTATTATTTTTTTAATAAAATTTTTTTTAAAAAATATTAAAAAAAATAATATTAAAAATTTCCCCAAATTTTAGGGAGTTACCCAAAAACACATACAATCTAAAAAAAAGTATTAAATAAAACATAAATCATTTATAAATAAAATAAACTTTAGGGGAATCAAGATCTTTTGAAGTAGATATCATTGATTTATCTAGAAATTGCTTCTTTAAGGCTTTAACCAGTACATCACTGTCATAATATGAATGGCTCCAAACTAATTTTCCAGCCCCTATCAAACTTTAAATAGATTTTTAATAAATGTAATTTATTGTGATCTATTGTATTTTCAATTAAATTAGACATCAAATAATTGAGAAATAATAAGTTCATAATTTTCACAAAAAAGAAAGAAATTTTTTTAATATTTAGACTTTGAACCTAATAATTCTATTTGCTTATATTTTAATCTATATAATGATAATTGCTCTGGTTTCTATTTCCAATATTTATAAGTTAAAAGGAGAAAGCTTTCTAATCATTCCATCTCATTCAATCAAATCATTTTCTTGTTTTTATAATTTTATAAAACAAAAACTATTTAAAATATAAAAAATTTTGCAATAGAAAAAGGAATTAAAAATAAATGTCTGCCAACATAATTCAAAGTTTTTTGATAATATATTTTGTAAATGCTATAATGTTATACTTCATAATTAAATTATCTAGTTACAATAGTTAGATCGACCATAAATATTTTCATACAAAATAATAAAATATATCATTTAATAATTTATGATTCAGATGGAAATATTAATTCACCTTAAATAACAATAAAAATATGTTAACATATTTTAAAATATTCAAAAGAACCTCAGTTATTATGGCAATAGGCCCCAATGTTTACAGATTTATGTATTCAAAATTAATTTAAATATTACCGATTTCTTTCAAATAGATCTGCACTAAGTTCTTTATATAAATCAGTACATTGATCTAATGTTTTTCTATTTAATCCAACAAGAGAAGCAATAAAGGCTCCTGTACTTGTTCCACAAATGAAATCAAACAAGGTATATATTGGTTGATTACATAACTTTTGTATTTCTTTCAAAATGTGAAGTGATAAAAGCCCTCTACATATAATATAATTTTATTATAAAATAAATATGAACCTTGAACCACCTCCATCAATACTTAAAATGCAGATCCCTTCATTATGTAATGGCTTATGACAGCCTAATAGAGCAAATATTTGATCTACTGAAGAAGTTAAATTTCTAGATGATGATTTTAACCATATTTGATTTAAAATAGTGTACGCATCATTCTATGATGCACTAATTAATTAACTATGGATCTAAATAAATATACCTTATATGCATAATACTTTAAAAATGGATATTGAATTATAAGGCTGGATAACTCATCAATGCGGGATATTTTTGAATCATCAGATATAGCTTGCTTAATTGATTCAATAATTGAAGCAACTCTATTTATAAGATGTAATTTTGATGGAATATCTTGTGGAATATATCCTTTATTAGGTTTTTCAAAATCTGATTTGAAAATTGGATTATAAACGTTGAGCTTATAATAATTAATTAATTTTTCTCTTGAATCTTCATTTAACGATCTTCTCAATGTATAAAAATTATAATAACATTTTAATATGTCAGAATATTTATATGATATATTTTTTTGCAATAAAAAATGGAATTTTGACAATTTTAAAAAATTATTATAATCACATTTATTTAACATTTAAAATTTAAAATATAATTCATCTATAAATTTTAATATGCTTTAAAGACAAATAAATAGGAAAAAGACAACTAAAAATTATATGTCAGGGTGGCCGAGCGGTCTAAGGCGCCAGACTCAAGGTTTAATCCTTAATTGGGTATTCTGGTCCTCGAATGAGGGCGTGGGTTCAAATCCCACTCCTGACAAATTTTTTAATATTATTATATTAATTTTTTATCACAACATCTATTTAAAATAATTCATCAAAATCGAATTGAGATGAATTAGTGATCTACATCGGGCTTAATTTTTCAAGCCCGACCCGTCTCGAAATTTTTTTAAAAAGTTATGTCGACATGAACCCGAAATTATTTTAAAAAATTTTGCCGACACGAAGCCAAAATTTTTTTTAAAAAAATTCACCGGCCCGGCCCGAATTTATTTAAATATAAATTAATTTTTACAATTACTCAAAATAAAAGATATATTAAAATCAAATATTTTTACTTTACATAAAAAAATTTAACATAAAATTGATAAATTTAGATATATTTAAAAATTTCCAAAACCCGACCCAAAAATATTAAGCCGGCCAGAAGCCCGTTCGGGCCCCGCCGGATACGGGCTGGGCCTACTTTTTCAAATCTCTAAGATAAAAATTATTCTACTTTTTCGAATCCCGAATACAATTAAAATGTACCCATTGCTGACAGTTTGGTCAGGAAGGGAATTGCTGTATAAATATTTATAAAAACAAAGGAACCGAGGATAAATTGGGAGAGATTTCCGCTTAGTAATGTAATACCCTCAGACTTATTAATCGATTCCTTTAAAAGCAGAATCACGATCCTTTCAAAAAAAGGGAGGGATCACTCCTTTATTGATAACAGACTTGTGGGCCAAAATCTCAATCGGCTGCGGCAGTTTTTTTTTAAAATTTTTATAGGCGCACCAATTTGGCGCACCAATTTATCAGTGGTGCCTAGTTGTTAAACGGCTCATTTTGAGCCGATTTTTTAAAACGACTAACTCAATATTTTAGCCAGGAAAATATTACCTAAACCTCGATATTTTTATAATATATGTAAACCTTTGTTACTTCTATGAGCAAAATCTTCAGACTTGGGTAAAATTTTTCTGGATAAAATATTGAGTTAGCCGTTTTTAAGAATCGGCCCAAAACGAGCCGTTTTATGGTCGTAATTGATATATAGTCAAGGAAGAATGCAAGATAGGCAGTTTCAGTTATTAGCCGCTCGCTTACTAGGGCCAGAATACCAAACATCGTGGAGTCTTCTAATTTATCATTAGATGATGGCCTAAGGCTAGATACACCACTGGTGCCACATATTTAAAAATTTAAAAATGAATATAATTTTTAAATTCAATGTATTACATTTTTTATAATTTATTTGGGCACTCTTGGTTCCAACATTATTAATACAGTTTTTTAGTCATTTCCTGTCCCACCTCTAAATAAATTTATACATTTCTCATTCTCCAAATAAATTTGGAATGCTAACAAATTAAGTAAAAATATATATATATTAAAAAATTAATTTAGTAAAAATATATATATATTAAAAAATTAATTTAATAAAATTAAATTGTAAATGTTATTTTGATGAGATTGGTGGGGCATAAAAATGTTCTTTTCCAGCCATGTGTACTAATTATAGATACACATTAGCTAAATTAGCAAATCTTTGATGTTTCACTCGCTTTCCCTAATCCTGTTCTCACGGGGTAAATATAATAATTTATCATAAAATATTTAATATTCTTCAAAAGTATTGGTTGTGTTGGCTTATTTCACATAATTTAATATATTTAATATGAATCAGCAGCGTCTACATGAGCGGGAGGGGTAGGAACAGTTTGCATCCTATTTTTTTGAGGGGGTAGGAGGTAAGCTGCTTTATTGGGGGTAGGATAAATTTTTTGGGGGGTTATCCATTAAATTTTGAGATGAAATAGGACAAAATTTATTGCTGTAAAAATTATACTTTTATTATAGTATTATTATAATACAATTCATCGACCAAATCTATATATTGCAAACAATCATACACATTGTTTTCCAAATAAACTATCCTTTTAAATGTAATTTAAAAGATTTCGATATTTTAGCAAGCTCATAATGCCATAATAATGGAGGTTTTAATTGAATTTATTATCTAAAAAATTAATTATTTATAATCACAAAATATAGATAGTTAGTAGTAGATATAGATTAATTTAAGTTATCCTTTATAAATTCTTTGAAAAGAGTATCAATAAATAAATAGGTAAAAATAATGATGATTTTTAGGGGGGTAGGCAAAGGTTTTTTAAGGGGGTTTGCATCCAGTGAAAATCCTGTCACGTAGACGCTGTGGAATCAGCCAAGTAATAAAGCTGAAGCAAAATCTTTTTTGGGCATGGTATATTATTATCATCGTTTTGCGGAGAATTTTGCAACAAGAAGCCTTAGGCGGTTATTTTTGGATTAACCAAGTGTCGTGAATATTTGATTGGTAAAAAATTCGTGATTATACTGATCATAAATCATTGATTCATTTGTTTAAAAAAGATAACAAAGAATTAATGATGTCCTAGAGATTACAACGTTTGTTGTTACTTGTGGGAAGTTTTAATGTGGAAATTAAATATCGGCGAGGGAAAGAAAATCATTTGCCAGATATTTTGTCTAGATTAGGATTCTACAACTTGGGAAGTATGTGGCCAAAGTCAAATCAACCGTTAGGGTTCATATTGATTTTTTTGATTGGGATGAAAAAAACCATATTTTTTAATTGTGGATTCATATTCTAAGTGGATTGAATATGAAGAAGTTCATGGGTTAACAACCAAAGTTGTTATTAAATTATTAAAAAAAATTGTGGTCTAAATTTGGGATTCCTAAAACAATTGTATCTGATGGAGGTCCAGCGTTTGTAAGTGAAAATTTTAGAATTTTTGTATTTCATTGCAAATAAAACATGTGTTGGCTCCGCCATATCATCCTAGCTCAAATGGTCAGGCTGAAAGAATGGTAGCCATAGTGAAAAGTAGGATTATAAAGGCCAAACTAAAAAAAGGAAATTTTGATGGCTCAGTTGTATTATTTTTAGGTATTTACTGATGTCTATTATAGAACTAGAAGATAATATACACATGCATTTATTGAAGTGACAGATATACATGAAAACCTTTTACCGTATTATTTGGGAGGGTGTTATGGTATATAAATTAAGGTTAAAATAGGGGGATATGGTCGTAATTGATATATAGTCAAGGAAGACATACAAGATACGCAGTTTCAGTTATTAGCCGCTCGCTTACTAGAGCCAGAATACCAAACATCGTGGAGTCTTCTAATTTATCATTAGATGATGGCCTAAGGCTAGATAGTTTAATTTCTGTACCTTGGACCTTAGGTAAATCCTCAATTTTGGACTTTACATGCGCTTCTTTATTGGTTGCGCGTGGAAGAAGGAATACACATGTCAAACAATTTAACGAATATATTTATTAAATTGAAATGTAAATAAAAAAGGAACATATATTGCCTAAAAATCGGCCCTTTTATAACCTATAATAAAATAAATAATTAATAATTCTCTAAAATAAAAATAATAGGACTCATCCTGAGTCTTTTAATTCAAAGTCAAACAAAGTCAAAAAAGCACGCGGATGTTACAAAGTCATATTATTGTGCTTAATAAATAAATTATAATGAAGGAAAAAATATATTATAACAAAATAAATAAGAACAACACCAATTACATTTATTTTCAAAAAATGTAAATTCCAGACTTATAGCTGAGAAAAAAAATTAAATATTCGAAATTAACAAGTTATATTTTTTTAACAATCAATATCTCTTCCCTTGAATATAAGTCATGTTAAACTTTAAATTTTGAAAAAAATAGAGAGGGTAAAATAAGAGTCCTTACATCAGATCTAGTGTTGTTAATGGCTCGATAGCCGATTTTTAAAACGACTAACTCAAGATTTTAGGAAAAATATTGTCAAAACCCTGAGATTTTGCTAATAGATGTCCAAATCTTTGTGCCATCTATAAGCAAAATCTTCAGGCTTACTTTTTTTTGGATAAAATATTGAGTTAGCCGTTTTAAAAATCGGCTCAAATCGAGCCGGTTAATAACACTAATCAGACCCAAAAGAATATTATTTTTTTTTCAAAAATATAATTATTCATGTTTTTGGGAACTTGTAGTACCACCTACGTTTTTATAGAATGTTTTTAAAATATTATATTATAGTTTGATTGGAATATGGTTATATATATATATATTAAAAATAAATAAATAAAAATTTTACCTTATAAAAAAAGAGAAAATTTTATAATATATATATGAATGAAAAATATGGACAATAGTCGTTTAGTGCAAATTAATAGTACTTTTCAATCTTTTAAAGGAATAAAATATTTAAGATTTATTACTGAACAATAATAAATTCGTTAATTAAATGAATTAAATATTTCTTCTATCAGGTCAATTCAGCCAAAATTTTATCGCGAATGTCGTTTATCGCGAAGAAATTTTATAGCGAAAGTAATATCGCGAAACCTCCGCCAATTTTTTTCCGCGAAACGTTTATAGTAATGACAATATCAAGAAGCAATTATCGCGAATTTATTTCCACGAAACCTTATCAGCGAATTCATTAAATAGAATACATTTTAGCGGAACTTTTATTGCCAACCCTTTACAACGAATTTTTTTACCGCGAATGTGTTTGTGCGAAGTCATTATTAGGATCGCATTACCACGAAACAAAAAATATATTGTTAATGGATTTATTTAAAAGAAAACAACATATTGAATATTAATTTATACACAAAAGTTCCTTAAATCATAAACGTGAAATGTTTTATGGATCTTTTGTTACCTATTAAATAAGCATGTAACCTTTATTTGATATAATAAAAAATTAATTTACCAATATCTTTCTTGGCTCTTCTCAAGCATAGTTATAAGTACGGGGGCGGGGGTATTTAATTCAGATTTTTACCCAATAAATCACCCTTCCCCCTTCCCCCACCAACATAAATTTGAAAATGTTTTTTATGCCAATAAAAGTAAATTTACACATAAATTTTGAAATACTTAGAAGTAAAACTAAGAATTTTTGATGATTTTCTCAGATTATAAAAATCATAGAAGATTTTGATAAGTAATTTTTTTTAAATTTTCTCAGTATTATTTTATTCAATTTTCCGAATTATTAAAACACAGAGTATTTTTAAGTGGTTTGAATTCTTAGTAATTATAGGGAAAAAGTAATATAGCACTAACCTACATGTATTGTAGTTAAGCATAACATATTGGCTTATACTGAATTCGTGAAAGTATGGCAAACTTTATGCTTAAGGCTGTGTTTCAATATTAGATTCAGATTCCTATTAAATTTTGAACTAATATTTTATAGAAAAGATAAAACAAATATCTGTAAAGATCGAAAATCATAAGTCAAAATATTTTGAATTAAAGATCCCTTATTTCACTTAGATGTAATTTATTTTTGAATCACCACAAAACTGATTGATTAATTTTTACATATTAAGGACTTCAGACAATAAATTTTGGCGCAACCCAGATATCAATTTCTCCAATAAAGATCTAGGTTTAGCTAATGAACTCAATGATTAATATATTAATAAAACCTGAGTTTTTTATGCACATCATATAAAATAAGACTTCGAGGAAAAGCATAAGGCAGAATAGCAAAATATTTTCTTCCAATAGATTTTTTAAATTTATTAAGGCTAAAAGAAAATTAAAAAATATTATTGAATCAATCTTGTATCTATTTTTAAAAAATATTATTCAATTATTATGATCATGAAAATAAATGTTTCAAAATATAAGTCATTCTTAGTAATTAGTGTTGTTAATCGACTAAATTTAGTAGGCTAAAAGACGACAAACTAATAATCATAGTCAAAAAATTCGACTAAAAATTCGAGCGACTAAATTGGTAAATTAGTCAACTAAGTTGATCCATTTAGTTGACTTAATCGATCCATTTAGTCGGCTTAGTTGACTAAATCAAATTTTTGAGCCGAACTTGATAGTCGCGATAATAATAAATTGTAAACATGTTAAATTAGGATTTCAATGAAGATGAACCAAAGAAAAGTGACAATTGACATATAATTTTATTTTATATATTTTTTTGACGCAAATGGATAAAAAAATAAATTGTAAACATGTTAAATTGAGATTTTAGGGAAGATGAACCATAGAAAAGTGACAATTGTCATAATTGTTATTTTTAAAAATAAATAAATTGTAAACATGTTAAATTGAGATTTTCGGGGAAGATGAACAATACAAAAGTGACACTTGTCATAATCGGTATCTTTAAACTTTTTTGAAGCAAATTGGTAAAAATATATATGATAAACATGTTAATAAGATTTAAGTGAAGATGAACCATAGAAAAGTGAAAATTGTCAAAATCGTTATTTTAAAACTTTTTTGAAGTAAGTGGGTAAAAAAATAAGGTGTAAACTCGTTAAATTAAATTTTATATTCTATTTTAAATATTAGCAAAATGTTAAAATTAATTTAAATATTTTTTCTTTGTAAAAACTTTTATCTCACAAAAATTATAATTTTATTTTCAATGATAATAGTCGGTTTTTTTAGTTATTTTTTTCCATTTAAATTTTTTTGTTTTTTACATCCTACATGCACTTTTGTTAAACCCGGTTCATAAAAAAAGGGGTTTCCAAAATTAATCCCGGTTCAGGTCTCAATATAAATCATTTCAAATTTTTTAAGACAATAGTTTCAATAAAAAAAATAGTGTTTATAAAATGTGAGATGGTTTTTAATTTTTAAAAATAATTAAATGAAATAATTAATATTTATATTCTATTAAATTAAAAGTTTTGTAATCAAAATAACAATTTTAAAAATTATAAACGCGATTCACCCCCATTATCACTCTGTAAATTTTTTGAAAGTCCATTACGGCCTAAAATTCAAAATATATTGACGTACACGCTGAGATCCAACGGGTTCAGGGTTGTTAAAAAGCTCGATTAAGCTTGATTTTTTATAAAAGAATTAGAACTTAGCCAAAATAATATTATGTAAGCCTAGAGATTTTGTTCATAAATGGCAGAGGTTTGGACCTCTATTTCTCGAGGCTTACATAATAATATTTTGACGAAAATCTTAATGTTTATAAAAATTGAACAGAATCTGGCTCTTTAACGATTCTAAACGAGTCACTACCCAAGTTTAAAAAAATTTGTAAATGAAATGCTCATAAATAATTATTTTTATTTTACATACATTTTGTAACAATCATTTGGTATTATAGTAAGGTATGATATGTAAATATCAAACATAAGGTGGTAAAAAAAAAGGAAAATATATAAAAAGTAATACACTAGCTATAATTCAGAAGTTTAAATTTGTAAAAATAAAATATAAAATATATTTGATTTTTTATTGCACTTAATTGAAATAATTTTAGCATGTTGCTTGATAATTATAGGTTCCAACTCCATTTCAATCAATTTTACATTTTGTTTGGTAAAAATAATAAAAACAACTATAATTATATTACATTAAAAACATTTAAAATCATTGATTTTTTTTAGTCTACTGTAAGGGGGAATAGGTGGCCTCTTAGAATATTAACCCTAACTCAATTTCGACCAAATGTGAAGTTAAAAAACTCTGTAACAATCAAGAGACGCGAGATATATTTAAAAAAATTAAAGAATTGATAATACATTTTGAACATGTAGCATTTATAAACTGATATTGCACTTTGATTCTCGAATCTTTTTCAAATATAATATTTATAAGTTTGAGTACATGTAAAAATGGTCGGTGTTTTAAATTTTTTATTTTTTTTAAAAAAGCACTTGATTTTTGATCACGTCATAATATAGATAGAGCAATAAATAGATCAGGGGAAATTTAATTTTTGGAATATTGAAACTTGTTATGATAAGTTGTTTTTAAAAAATTATAATAGTAATGATTTATAATTTAATGGTCCAAAATGGATGGCAAAATATCTGGAATGTTAATTTAAAAATACTTGTAAGTAGTCAGTTGAGAAATATGATTATATAAAATATTTAACAAGAGTTTGGAATAATTAAGGCTAGAATGTTGTTCAAGAAGAAATCATTTGCTATTATAATATGGGTTTACGCGAAAAATCGATTAAATTTTTTATGAGTTATCTGAAAAAAAATGTGTAGAATTGTTGTCATCTTGGGAGATGGAGATGGCAGCTTCCTCAAGTTTTAATCTGGCTTGAACAGTGCTAAGTGTTTTGCTATTTAAAGTTTGTTCGGGAACTCCTTGAAGTTCAAAATCTGTAAAGCATTTCTATTTTTTTTTATAAAACAAAATGTATTTACAATAGCCGTAACTAAATCCCAAATCCTCTTAGAAATGTCCTGGTCAAAAATTAAATAATTTTCATTATTAAGGTATATTATACAATATAGTTTTGGAAAAATTTTGCAAAATTTTACTATTTTTCGCTTCATTATAATACTTTAAAACTATCAATAAGTTAACGGAGAAAACCCTAACATGTAGATCCTAGTTTTATTCGATTTTTATTATCATCAATCTTTAATTAAGATTCAAATAAGAATAAAATTTTAATAAATTACCGATCTACAGAGTAGATCTATTCAAAAACTAATACCAACCAAATAGTGTCGTATTCGATTCGTTTCGTGCGAACAAATTTTTTATTTAATTTCCCGTGCATTTTAGCTCTTTATTTGAGTAAATGTATTTAATATGTTGTATTATAATAAAGGATGGATATATCATTTTATGAAAATTATTTTTATTCAATTCCTATTATTCGAATAATTAATTTATTTAAATATTATAAAATAATTCATATGATAATATATTGAAATTTTTAACATTTATTATACTAATTTGCCATACTAAAACTATTTTTATTCAGGTAAACAGAAACTGTTATAATTATTGAAAGGAAATGTTATTCTTCCTTTACATTTTATAATGCTCTTGCAATGGCCAATTCACAAGTTTTATTGCGTTAATATTTTTCCGAAATGGCCCCTATTTTTTGGAGGAATTTGTGTCTGATCATCAAAATGAATTAATTCATCAGTCATATTATTTATAATTATATTAGATATGTAATAATTTATCACAAAATAAATCATATTTTTATTTTTTAATTTAAACCTTTTAGGGTTTGAAATATTGATTTTTGGATAAAATTTATATTAAAATTCAAAAAGGCAGGTAGAAACTTTCATTATATCAAAAATTTGAAAATATTTTTCTTCTTAGTCGTTTTATGACCCTTTTCCAAGTTTACTAGGGTAGGCCGTTTTCCCTTCTCATCTCCTTTCTACATTATCGTTGCTCAATTATTTCCAACATTTCGCCTCCAAACATTTTCTTTTCTATATTCATTTTTAAACCCTCCTCTCCATAACCATCCTCTATCCAAGTATTTTATCCTTTAGCTATAAGTATTAAATCGTCGGCATATAGAAATTTCAATAGAGGTCTTTATGCGTAGCTCCAATCACTACGACCATTATTGTAATAAAAATAATGAACTCAAGATGTACCCCCTCTGATGTAACTCTACCTTTACCTCAAAACCATACCTATCCCCATTGTTAAAACCCACGGCCTCTTCATACATAACCATCACGGCACTTATTAGACTCCACGCCTGATTTCTTCAGGATCCAGTTTTATTTAAATGTTCTATAATATTTCAACATCGAATAGTCATTTATTCGTATTCTACTATTCGTATTTATTATTATTTAATTCAATTTCGAATAGACCAATTAAAGTATTCAGCCTCTTTCCTTATTTTTAAAAAGAATATTTTTATTTTATTTCACTCATTATGTTCACTCCAATTCTATATTGTATTTATTCTAAAATATAACTTTTTAATTAAAAATTAGTCTTTTTAAAAATTTGCGAAATAAAGAAATGCTTTATCAGTCGTGATGTCATATAGAGCCCTAAAAATTGCCTCCTATTTTATTTTTAAGCCCCAGGTGTTTAAAATATTTTTTGGCTTGAGCCAGAAAAATTTTTTTAAGCATAATCTCGGTCCTCAATTTTTTAATTAAAAAATATAAACATATAAAGTGAAATAATATACAATTTTGATTAAAAAGGTAGAGATAATTTAATGTCCGACTATGCCTTATTTTTAAGACTCAATTGCTTTTTTTAAAATTAACTATTTTTTAATCAGGTACCAATTAAAATTTTGTTTGGTTATATTAAGGAAGGGAGGGGTGAAACTTGTCCAATCATTGAGATAGGGGGTAATCTTACAGGGTGCTTAAAATAGGATCAAGAAGATCCTGTGAAATTTAATTTTTTTAAACTGAAAATACATGAAAAATAATGTTTCATGTTCATGCTAATAGAACAATGCTTTAAAAATAAAATGGATTATATTATACGAATAAATTTATGTTACCAGTTATTCATAAATAAATTTAGCGAAAAGACAATTAGTAATATTTTAACCAACAAAAACCTAATTTAATTTGTAAATAGTAAACTTAATAATTATATATAAAAATATATGATTCATTAATCGTTACAAATAAAAAGATGATGATATATTGATTTTGATTATAAATTACAAATGAAAGGGTTAACAATTCTTGAAAATGTATGTTAATAAAAGCTATGAATAAAAAATATATAATTAATATTACTTACCCTCACAATATACATGAGGCATGTGTATTGATAGGGATGCAGGGATATGTTAATTCTTTCAGTGAGCCAATCACATATAATATTCATTTGAGCCGTATACCAATTCTGAAGGATTATAAATATATTTAGAAAATGGAACAAAAGAAAATTATTAATATATTTTTAAATAGACGCTTTGAGAGTTTCTAAGTTATAAGTTTTATCTCTTCTACAAAATGGATTGAACAATGAAAACATTTTTTTTAAAGTATATACCTCAAATATTTTTAGCACGTATAGGTCATCTATGACTTTCTGTCGCAATTGATCTAAGCAGTTTCGCATGAAAGAAACATAGGCTATGCCCAATTCATTTGTTGGCTTCTAATTATTGGTAAAATAATATGAAAAGTCTGGTTTTATTCTTCTTATTCCTCTATATTTATCATAAAATAAGATTAAAATTATTGAAAGAACTATAGTAACCTTGTGTAAATAAATAATAATTACTGAACCTTTATGAAATTTTAAATATTATTAAGGTTCCTGTACCTGAACCTTTATAAAATTGAATTCCTTAACCTGCACCGAACCTTTATAACTTTATTTTCTTAGCTATATGTCAAAAGGTTAGACACTCTGGATGGGACATCTACAAAGCTGTTAAGAGTAAAGGTTACTTTTCTGTTACATTTAATTTATAATTTAATATAATTCTGTTTTCTTTTGGTTAATACTTTATGCAAATTATTTCATGCTTCTTTAATGTTAACTTACTTACTGTTATGTTATACAAATAAAGTGCTGTTCCTATTTGAGGCATTAATAGCAACATATTTTTTTGATTCTTCTTTCAATTCGATTTGATAGTGAAATGTATTAATTAATACTAAATAAATTATATTTTGTTATTTTAGTTTAAAGCCACACTTTAATTGTAATAGATTAAATATATAATCGATTTTGTAAAAGTTATATATAGATACATTTTCTCATTTTTAAATATATTATATTATAATAATAAACAACGCTTTATAATAAACGCCATAGATAGTAGGCATTGTTATAGTGCGAATCTCCTCCAATGGTTTACTACGGTAATTCAACGATCCTTGATAAGGAATATTGTTCGGCTAATTTATTCACTGTTAATAGTTTTTCGAAAATCCCCCCAGATCCTAATCGTTCCATAAGATAGGAAGTATGGGTGCTGCTATGCGAGAAAATGTTATTTTTTCAAGAAAGATATCGGATCTGACTTAAAAAACCATTTTTTGCAACTTCTATTAATGTTATCTTTGCTTTAAGCTTATATAATTTCTTTAAGTCTGGCTTAAATAAGTCGGCAAATTTTACTTTATATTTATCTTACTTTTAATTATATAAATTTATGTTATTTTTACACTATCAATTATATGCTTTAAAATATTAGTATAATTTTTTAAATTATATCGACAACCAATTATATTTTTTCAGATATTTACAATAAGGAATTTAAAATCATATCGCTTATTTTTAACAACTACCTGATATATTTATTTTAGAATTTGTATATGATATATTCGTTTTTTCTATATGTGCTTATGATAGTAAATTCAACGTTTGTTTATTTAACAGCAATTAGGAGGATCCAGTATTCGATTATAATTACCTATTATATTAGATACAGGAGACTCCGTATAGCTGTTAAATACACAAAGTTGAATTTACTATCATATAAAAAAAAAATTCTTATTTTAAAATCATATACAAATTCTAAATAAATGTATTAGGTAAAGTTATGTTAAAAATAAGATATATTTCAAAATTTCTATATTGCAAAACCGGAAAGAATATAATTGCTCGAGATAATTAAAAAGATTATCCTAATATTTAAAACAGGCAATTGATAATGTAAAAATAAACGAAAATTAATTTATTAAAAGTAAAATAAATTATAAAGTAAAATTTGCTGACTTATATATGTCAAACTTAGTGAAATCGCTTAATGAAAGAAGATGCAAAAGAATGATTTTTTAAGTCAAGTCAAGGTACCTTTATCTTGCAAAAATAAAATAGACGGAACAAAATAATTGAAAAATAACATTCTCTCGGAGAGCAGCAATCATAGTTCCAATCTTAAAAAAAAAGATGGGATGATTAGAGTCTGTGAGGATTTTCGAAAAACTTATAACATTAAATCTTTAACTTAATAATATCTTTTACCAAGGGTAGATAAGCTACTAATGATCGTATTTTACAACTCTAGATTTATTTAATATATATCATCAAATCTAATTAGGCGAAGAAACAAAAAATATAATATCAATACCCCAAATGGACTATATCGGTATTCGACTACCATTTAGAATCTCTTAAGCTCTAGCGATATTTCAACGTAGCATCGATTCACTACTAAAAGTTCTACTAGGAATAACAGTTTATTTGGATTACATAACAGGGTTAGCATTAAAACATTTTGCATAAGGTATTAACCGCATTAAGAGACAATGGAATTATATTAATTTTGACAATGTAAATTTTTTGAGTTAGAGATAAAATTTTAGGGCATAAATTAATAAAGGTACATAGCCCACGCCCATTATGAGAGCAACGGACGCCTCGAATTATGGAATAGGTGGCATTATCTTATTCTTTTTAATCGGATATCGATAAACCGATCGCTTTCGCGTCAAGAACCTTATCGCCTGCAAAAAAACTATATTCAAGTGGAATGAGTTATACTTATTTTTGGTCTTAAAAATAATTTAAATCACATTAACAGGTAAAAGCTCTTCAATTATAACTGATAACAAAGTACTAATATCTTTATTAAAAAAATATTTATTTTATTTTATAAATTTACAAAGAGCGAAATGTCGCCTAGGTTAATCAGATGATCATCATTTTTAGCTAATTTTGATTACTCGTTATCTTTAAGAGGAACAAAGAAACACGGATATTGCTACATTCTATCGTTAAGAGTGTTATGAGTGATCGTTCCAAAGATATTAGAAGCATAAGTATTAAAAAGTCTAAAAAGGACATCAGAGAAAGACACATATGAAAACACTTGCCTTAGAACGATCATGTATGGTGGTCAACAGTGGATAACGATATTGAAAATTTTGTAGAAAAATGTAACATAAATTAAAGTTATTCAAATTTTCAAAAACCGATTAGTCCGTTTTGGTCGAATAAGGGATGACCATGGACAAGACTAATCTGGGTTTTGCAGGACTTTTTTAACGAAAACTATGTTTATAGTTACAGTTGGCTAGAAAGTTAATCAGTTCACAAATAATACAGAACCATACAATGCTTAAACAAATTATCTGGAAGATTCGGAACTACAAGATCAATAGTGAGCTATAGTGGATCCTCGTTTCAAAGTAAAGTATTTAAAGAATTTTATAAAAACTTACTCAAAACATATTTTAATATTGCCATATCAGAGATCGCAAGGGGAAGCTGAGAAATTTGTAAAAACCTTTAAAATTTCTTATAAAAACGTATAACTTGAAGATAGATTTCTGAAATACTCCTCATACAATAAACAAATTTTCATCAACATCATATATGCTAAAATCTGTACCACAAGGCCAGTTAAACAAACTAAAATCACACCACAACGAGGAGATGAATATATAAAAGGTTTTGATATAAAAGAAAAAGTATGAGCCCGAGATAGTCATCGAGAACCATCGTGGATTTCAGCCAAAATAAAAAAACAGATATGTCTTTTATATCTAATGGCAGGAGATAAATAGTTTTAAAGAAGACATTCAGATCACTTAAACCAGAGTAGATAAAGACATGTTACTTCATTTGAGGTAACAAAACTTGAGAAATCAAGATTTAACTAAAAAAACTCACGACCGTAGGTCCCCCGCTGGACCTGAAACCGATTTTGAAGATAAAATGGCTGAAAAAACAATATCCTACAGGAAAGAAAATACCGAGAGAGGCATCAAAATTAAAATGGAGAAAGGTGTTATATTCAATTTTTATTTATCCGTTTTGTTTTATAATAGTGCATTTGGTTATTATATTATTATTAGTTTATGTATATTATATATATAAAGAAATTTTTCTTAAATAAATCACTACTTGATTTTGATATCGAATTCTCAATTTACTTAAAACACTTTAGAAAGATTTAACACTTAATTATATAATTATGAGTTTATACAATAACAACATACCGCTAGCGTTAGAATGGAAGAGAACAAACTATTTTCATCGTAACGGGCTAATTTAAGGAGAACACCCATCAAAACTTCCTTTAACTGTAAAGAAATTGAAAATCGTAAAAAAAAATATTAGAAATTCTATTAAATTTCCTCATTCGCTTTGACTTTAAAATTTTTGAAAAACAATTTTGATGATATAGATTCAACTGGTTTATTCAAATTTAGTTTTCTAGCCAAAAATGAGCGACAAGTGAAAACTATCATGTTATTAATTGACTTGCTAGTACCAAGTAAAACATCTCTTCCTAATAATCCATAAAATTTAAAAAAAATTCCATTATACAAATCTTTAAAAAAAGGATCGTTAAATTCAATGCTCCTTCATCTTCAAAATTAAATACACATTATATATAGATATAACTTTTTCGATTAATAAATGTTGCATGTTATCCTGTATAGTATCAAGGTATTCGTCAATTTTTGTATGATATTGGTGCTAAGAAAATTTTTATAAATATTATTTTTTTTGTATTTATATAACTGCAAAAAAATTATCCAGACCTTTAAAAATTGTTTAGCAGCGACAAAAAAAGTTCTTTAATTGTTATTTATATAGAATTTCATCATAATAATGAATTTTAAAAACCAGTTTCTGTTTATTAATATCTCGCCATAGATTCACTAAATTAGTAACAAATTTAATCAATTAATTTCATCATTAACGTTATTAAACGTATACGTGTTCAAATTTCAAAATAGAATTAGTTACGAATTTTCGACCACTAAATTTCGATTATATGTTTATCGTACACTATTTTAAATTAATATATTTAAGTTCATCAATGATTTTATTGTATCATCAGCTACTACATCTTGAAAGGTAAAGTTGGAAGCCCTAAAAGTATGTTTTTGTAAAAAAAATTATTTATCTTCTTTCTCTTTATTACTTCTTGATCTTGTAATAATGTGTTAGACTACTTGAAAAATATAAAGATGTTTCCATTATCAATTTATCAAATTAACATGCTAAATTCGTTTAAAATGCTTGAACAAATGAATTAATAAGTTCACGAAATTCGTATTAATTTAGTGAAACTAGGCCTATGTATATCATGAGATTTTGGTATTAAGGATGCTCTAGTGTGTAAATAAATTTCCTTATTAAATATAATTTGTTATTTATTTTGAAAATTACTGACTTTGTTATGCAATAAATCAATTTACAAAAAAAATAAATTAAATTCAGAATTACTAGACAACGGTATATAAAAATATAATTTACCATATCAGCACCGTCTACTGCGCATAGTTTCATACTCTGCAAATAAATTGTTATAAAATAAATAATATTATTTATAAAATAAAATAATATGGCGTAGCTATTAAGCATTATATCAGTGCCATCGCTAGCTCTCAACATTTTCGTTTATAAAGATTTTCTTTAAATGTAGACGTGCTCATAAAAACGTTAGGCTCAGATAGGAAACATTATAGGTGATAAAAATTAAAATTAGCCTTGTCATTCTTTGCTGTCCCTCTATAGACACTGCCTATTAATGTCATAATTTAACATTTTCTTTGTAAAAAAACCCATCGTAAAATCATAATTTGGAAAATCATGTTATTCAATTATATTTTTAAAAAAGATAAAGAAAATATAGCAAATTTTGTATTTTAACACGATTTTTATTATTTTATAAAAATTACGCGTTTTTAAAATGCACCTTAATTGTTATAAAATGTATACTTGTTTTTTTGGAAACTAGAACACGAATCTAAGAATCAAAGAACAACTTGTATTTATTAAATTATAAAGTTCAAAATAATAAACAAAGGTGAATTATATATAAAAATGAAGTGTTATCTGCAAATCCGCCCAAAGCAGGGCCAAAAAATTTAAAATTCCGGGACGGTCTCAGTGTAAAAAATATTAAAACTCTAAAAAGATAACAGACATTCTTGTTTAATCAAAATAAAATGACAATTTATCTGTGATAAAACCATAAGAGATTTTAAAAAATTAATTTAACTTTATAAATATGCGCTATTTATATTTTAATTAAATTTTGGGGCAAGCTTAAAAGCAATTTTTTTTTAAAAAATGAAAAATGGAGGCTTCTAATTTGTAATGAGCTTTCCACAAGGCAAAAAAAAAATTGATCTTAAGTTAATAATCGGGCTGTGGTAGAATATTTATATTTATTTACCCTATTTTTAGCATCGAGAAGCACGTTGATCATCGTACAAATTTCTAAAGGTAAAACGTAATCGGTAGTTTTTTTGCCTCGACTTAGCATGGCATCAAAACTTTTGTAAGTCCTTTAAAGAATTTTTTAAAATATATATTAAAAATAAATTTCGTAATGCTAAGAAATCACTCGTGCTTTTAAGGATTAATGATTTCTATTAAATTACTTTTAATTTAGTATGTTAAAGATATATTTTATAAGTTAATTTAAAGAATAAATACCGCTCTTTCTTTAAAAAAAAATAGGATAAAGAATACACATTAAATTGGTCCATTCCGTTATAAACTAACATTTTATAATAAATCATAACAATATAATCCTTAATAGAAAACACAATAAATTAACATTTTATATAATTATATAGAAACAAACCTGGCCACGCATGATTCTATCATATCTGCGGCCATAAGCTTAAGCCGTTGTTCCAAATGCTTAGCGAAAACTTCGTCAGGCCATTTAAGTTGTTCTATAAAAGTTTGGAGGGATTCAAGTTTCCAAAACATATCTTCAGATGTTGTGCAGCCGTTACTTCATTTTTTTGCAAATTTTTATTATATTATATAAGATTTTAATAAATAAATTTATTTTGCTTTGATTGATTCATCTTAAGACATTTTAATTTGTCGTTCTTATCAATTACCAAAACATCTCACTAAACTATAAAAGAAAGATATTGTGTGTTAATATTTTTAACTAAAATGAGTTTAAAAAACTTTAGCTTTTGGAGGGGCTGAATTAAATCCCCTTTTGCTCCATTATGTAAAAAAAACAGTTAAAATGAAAGAAGAAAAAAACAATGGAAGAAAGGGTAGCAAACAAGATGATCAATAAATTTTCGAAAAAATTATAGGTTTTATAGAAGCAGATTCCGATTTTAATAATAACATTGTAGAAAAGATGTCTATATGGAAAATAATAAACCATAAATATAAAGCAAATTGGGCATTTCAATTAAAAAGAGAATAATCGACATATTTTTTTTCTTCCAATTTTTTCATGATTCAATTGTGTCAAATAATTTTTAAACCATCATTTCAAATATAAATAAATTGGTCAATTTAAAGATATAAACCGATCACCGAAATTAAAGAATAAGAAATATCGGGATGATTCAATATTTAAAAAAAATAGGTACATACATCGCAATAAAAAATAATTGGGTCTCCGCGCCAATTATTATAATACTAACCGAGATTACCGATTTAATTATTAATAGTGTAGATATATTGGGTTCATCTAGTCAAAGTCATTAATGACTTTCAATGGTGGTTTCAATGGCTGTATACTTCAATGCATATCGTAACCTCGTATATAGGATTTCCACATTTGCCGTATTGTATTGAATTTTCAGTGTCCCGAAATTTTAAAATCTTAAGTATGGCTCCTCGAGAAATATCACAAACGAGTTTATAATGCATAATACAATTCATGTGTTTATGGAGAATTTGAAAATAGAAATAAACAGTGGAAATACTATATTTCTTTCAACACAATATATAGAAAGATAATACTTTTTAATTTTAATCGTAGTATTCTCATAAATATGAGTTCTATAAGATATAGTTGATTTCTTTCCTCACAAATATGGTCAATTTTATGCTACATTTTAATAATGACTGAAAAGAAGCCAATTAATACCCTTTGGTCTCCCATTTCTCTCGTTCGAACCCACGATGAATGGATTGAGCTATGGAGGATTCCATGATATCCACATATCTCACGACCATGGGTGCAAAAACGTTTTGCAAGTGTTGGTGAAACTTTCCGTTGTTAAGTGTTTCTAAAAATTTAAAATAACATTTTTCAAACCAAATTTGAAAAGAATAGTAATATATAATAAGAGGTAAATATATATAACAGAAGATAGGATAGGTATAATAATTTTTTAGATAGAAAAAAAAATATTATTGTTATTTGATTTTAATATAACATTTGGAAATTTGTTTTTATATGCATAATATTTAAATAAAATAGTTTCCAATTAACTAGTGTCACTTCTTTAACAAAAAAATTAAATAAAAATAAATTAGTAGTATTAAAAATAAAAAAAACGTTTTTTTATCCATATAAATATATAGGATACCTGATTTAGTGAGATAGTTATTTAGTAACTGAAAAAGGGGGAAAGCATCCCAGGAATCAGGATTAAGGAAATCGAGAGTAGAATCGAGATCTACTGCGAAAAGTGACCAAAATATTTCTTCGTGCTCTATCATAAGATCTTTGAACCAAGAAAAGGCCTGTGTTGAAAAAAAATAACAATCGAGAAAAAGAGGTATTAGAAATATTATAAATAATGAAGAAGATAAATTTTGATAGAAGGGTAAATGGTGAAAGAACAGTTATGGAAAAGAAAACATATTAGAGTGTAATTAAAGCTAGCTGTTAGATCTAGTTTAGACTTAATAACATAAATTAAATGTTATATAAATTATCTTATTCTGCCACATAAAATAAGTTTTAAAAAAATTAGTCCATCCCATAAAATAATGAAAACAGAATTATATATTAGGCATAGCTATAATTGTTTAAAATTTAATATGTCGATATTACACATAGACTTTCATGGTTTATCATTCAAAAAAAATAAGAAAAATAATATTTATTTTTTAGAAATAAGTAGTTTTAATTACAAAATAAAATGAGAAAAAATAATAAAACAAAGACAATATAAATGAATAACTCTTACGGACAACAATTAAATTTCATTTAAAATAAATTAAATTTAAAAAAAAGTTCTTTGACTGATTTTTGTGAAGCAAAAAAAACTTCAGCGTGATATTCTTCATTCTGCTGCAGTAGCTCTATGCACATTTCGGCCAGGTTTATCAGACCATCTATCTTCTTTTTGATGGGAGCTGTTGTTGAATTGATAACTTTAAAAATTTATCATTTGAAAAAATATTTAGGAAAGTTAAATAAAGAGTTTAAAACCAAATTTTTTTTTGAACATTTGGGATTTCAAAAGGAATACATATAAATGACATGATAGTAACGACCTCAAATCACAAAAAAAGAATAAAACATGCGATTCATATAAAAATATAAATAATTTATAAACCTTCGGTTTGTGAAAACGATGAAATTTTTGTGTAATTAACGAGCGCGGCTTTTTCTAAACATTTCCGGATAATATTTCTAACATCATCTGGCGGAGCGGGAGTTACTATGTCTTTCATCAAAACCTTTCATTTTAAGATGATTTTATTGAGAAGAATTTTATTAAAAACAGGTATTAGAAAATATATAGCTTCAGAAGATCTCTAAAAAACTCTAAGTAAATCCGGTAAAACATTGCTTACAATGCATTCGCAGAAGTGGAAGGCTGGTAAACCACTCTGCAATTTGGGTATAAAACAAGACCTTAACTTAGCCGTATTCTCTTGTAAAACAACCGATCCATGCAAATATTTTGGGCAATAATTGAATAATAGTAGGATTTGTTGCCAAGGCAAGTTCCAAGCTAGCCTGTGTTGCCTCTCACGCCCAAATATTTATAGGGACTTCATTGAGGTTACTAAGAGAACGAAGTCTAATAAATATCATTTCTCAGTAATATCTTTTAATTCTAATCCTTCTGACCATTATGGCCACGTTCAAAATTTATAGCTTCATTAATGGTAAAATAATTACCTTGAAGATCCCAAGAAGGTTTTTTTTACCTCCGCCAAAAACTGGAAATTCAGGTCGTTAAATCAAATTTTCTCTGTCTATTTCTATACCGTACTTGCCCTATTTTTAGAGAGTTGGCCAATAAAAATCAATATGATTTAAATTACCCCGATTTTTTAAAAAAATCAGTGATTTAAATCAATATTTTTAATAAAATTTCATTTACTAAATTTGATCAAAATACTTAATATAGGGAAAGATAAAGATAGGATTATTTTAGAGTAAAATAATTTTTATATGAAAATACTAAATTGTACTAGTAATGATTACTTATTAGATAAAAAAAATACTTAATTTATTTTGTATTTCATTGTTTCGATTTTTGACATAATTAATTTATTTTGTATTTAATTGTTTCAATTTTTGATATAATTAATTTAATTGAATAATTCTAATCCTTAAAAGGGCCAGCATCCCGAATACTCTAGAGCCTGAACTTATTCCCGAGCAAAAACAGAAAATCCGAGTATCAACCTAATACTTTGATCTACCTGTAGCTTGGGATTAATTACACATGCATCTTTTCGGCGCGTTCCAACAAAAATGCTTCTGCACTTAATTCGGTAGAAATTTTGAAAATAAACATATATTCAGATATCACTAACATAATTTTTATCCCACTTGTCACCATCACTCTTGGTGTTTTTGGTGAGGAATTCCTTAAATTTAGCATATTATTAGGAAGAAAATTAAGCCAAATAAGTGGCGATTGTAATGTAAACTTCTATTTCTAACCAGCTATTACAAAATTGCATTGCTATTCATGGTTCCATATAGCAATGCAATAAAACCTATCTCTTAAATAATTTAATTTAATTTTTATTCTGTTTGTTTATTTTAATTATATATATATGTATTATATTTTTAAATGATTTTTTATATGAACTTTGTTTTAAATTAGTTTTTTAAAATCTCAATGTAGAGAAATTATTTAATAATCCAAAAAAAATAATTAGGTTGATAAATTCAGGGTTGTGAGCCCTCTCTCTAAAAAAGGATTCTGGTTCAGTGAAATATCTCTGAACCCGGTTCAGATTCAGGATTTGCCGTCTAGAGAAATATAGGTTTACAAAATTTAGTAAAAATAACAGAAGCATTAGTTTTTTTAATCATTTACCATAAAAATATTTATATCATTATTATTTAAATAATGATATATAATTTAATAAATAATATTCTATTTATTTTTAAAATTTTATAAGAGGATTATTATATCTTCCAAAATCTAGATGTTAAAATTAAGATTGATTTTTCATGCCTAACTTTAACAGTGCATTGCAACTTTTCATGTACCCGACACTGGTATTTTATTTTAATTGTCTATTCCTAAGTTAATACACTACTGAAGCTGTTGATTGTATTACTGGGTCATTCCATGACAAATCAACCACGATTCGGCCGACCCCCTTCGATTTTTTTAAAATTTGGTAAGCAAAGAAAGGTCAATGTAACTAAGAAATAGCCAAAATTTTAGCCTCGTAACATTTATATTTTTGGAGATATTAGGGTTCAAAGTGGCAAAAATGTCGTATTTTTACCATTATCTGCCTTCATTCAATTAAGCATATCTTAAAAACTATCTAATTGTAAATAACAATTTTAATATCAAAATTACTTACAAAGATTCTACTTTTAGATAAAAAAAAAAAATTTTTTTTTTCAATTTCCGGCCATTTTATTAAATATATAAGGACTAAAAACGATTTTTTAGAAATTATACGACCTTCAATTTTTTTAAAAAATTTAGTAGACAACACTGAACTCTTCCTTTATATTTATAAAAAAAAATTGGTCTGGGACGAGGCCATCTTCATTCTCAAAATCGCGATAAAAATGTTTAGAAAAGTGTATAAATATTTTCCCGAAAGGGGGCGTCTTTGCATAAATTTATATTTAAATCAGTTTTTAATGGCTTTTCTTGGACTATTTGATATAATTTAAAGGATTATTCATCTTGTAAATATAAATTATAATATTTTCTTCACTTATGGGGCTTTCATTCAAGTATAGAAATTATCTATCGATAAAAGAAACTCAATTTATTGCATTATTATTTATAATTATTATATATTTGCCCATATAGCATATATTTAACGAATATTAATAAAATATGATCCACCAAATATCGATTAATTTTTTAAAATAATGTGATCGTCGCAAAAAAAATAAATTTTTCAAAGTCAAGATATATTATATTTTTTTTGTGTCTCCATATTATGTACATTGTATTTATTGTTTTGTTTTTACCAAAAAAAAATAATATATGAAGAATTATAATTCTTCCATTGACGTGGAAAAGCTAATAAAATATTACAAATATTAATTTATTATTTATTATAAAATTATATACAAAATAAAAGTATCATCAATAACCCAAACAATATAAATATTGGATCGGATTTTCTAAAATCGGCATAGCTTTACTTGTAAATAAGAATAAATGAGTGTTTCAATCAATAAAATAAAGAAAAATTTAAAATTGATTAATCATTCAATAACACATGCTCACTATATTAATTCATTTTTTAATTAATTTCTTGGTATTTTAAAAAAATTATAATAAATTCTAATTATTCTTATAATAAATTCTAATTATTCTTATAATATCAAAGGTAAAAAAATTATTTAATTGAAGCGATAAATTTTATAAAAAACTAAATGAAAATAATTAATAATGTCTTATAAGGATATTTTTGGTTTTAAAACTAAATCAATAATTTTTTCAAAAATTAACCAGTTACTTTCTACATCAAAATAGGGTTTTTGGAACAAAAAATGATTATACCATATTTTTACTAAATTTTATATAGAATTTTACATGAATAAATAGTCCTGAAAATACTAGGTTAATTTAAATTATAATTATTTGTTTTAAGTTATGATAAAATATATAATATGTAGAGCGAGCAAAATCAGATTAGTGATATCGGTTATTTGTCCGATATCAATATAATATCGTATCGGATTAACCCCCTAATCGGTACACCTGTATTATTAGATATTCTATGATATTTTTATAAATTAATTTGTTTTATCATATAGAATTTCAATAAAATGAACAAAAATCTTATTCGAAAAACTAGATGCTGTAACCCTTTTAAAATACTAAAACATAATAATGTAACTACAAATCTTAGAAATCTACAATCTTGGATGTCACTTCACTCAGATGATAAGATATGTGATAAATGTCGAAGAAAACTCGGAACAGCTAGTAAGTCAAATGACGCATTTAAAGACCCTGATATTCATCATATCGAAGAGAACCTGGCTTATGAATCAATTAATACATCATTGATAGAAATTGGAGAATCTCCAATAAAAAAGAAAAGGTTGAGAGAAAAAAAAGATATCCAATTAAAAAAATTACCAAAATAAAAAAGGCTATAGAAACTCATTTAGATATAAATGCGATTGAGCCAGCTACTATCGATAAAGATGATGGTATTCTAAGCAATATTAAAAAAAAATTTTCACTCTTATCTAAAACTGATAAATATAAAATTTTGACGATATTACCAAAGAATTGGACAGTGTCCAAAATAATGAATGAATTTAATACAACAAAATACATGGCAAGACAAGCTAAATTATTGATAGCGGAAAAGGGATTTTTGTCAACCCCTAACCCCAAGCCTGGAAATACTATAGACGAATGTACAGTTAAAATTGTACAAGAATTTTATTGTACGGACGAAATAAGCAGAATCATGCCAGGCAAGAAAGATTGCCTTTCAATTTTGACCGAAGACGGAAAAAAGAATACAATACAAAAGAGATTAATTTTAGATAATTTGAAAGAAATTTATATATTTTTAAAGAAATGAGGCCTGATGATAAAAATCATAAAAAAATTTTGTTAATATTTGCCATCATGAGATGGATTTCGGGATACAGGCGGAATGGCATTTTTCTGCTACAGCACATGGGAAAAGTGTTTGTGATGGGATTGGTGGCACTGTTAAAAGATTAGCCGCTAGAGCTAGTTTACAAAGACCTTACTCAAAGCAAATAACCACATCATATGAATTGTACGAGTTCGCTAAAGAAAATATTAATGGCATATATTTTGAATATATGACCCAAGAAAATTATGATCACGAAGAAATATTACTCAGGGAAAGGTTTTCAAAAACGAGACCTATACCTGGAACACAGAAAATTCACACGGTGATTCCCACAGGTCTACATCAATTTAAGAGTAAAATGTATTCCAATTCAATAGAAAGTAATATAGAATATTTATCATATAATGATGAAAGTATCATTTTTGGAGGGATATCAGGGTATATAACATGTGTTTATGATTCTAATTGGTGGTTAGCCTTAGTTTTAGGGAAAAATCAAAAGGAGGAGAAGAAATATATATAAAGTTTTTACACCCATCCGGACCTTCTAATTCCTTTACATTTCCAAGTATAGACGACACTCTCTACTTGCCAAAATGTCATATCTTAACATTAGTTTCACCATTAACTGCTACTGGCCGTAGTTACACATTGTCGTCACAAGAAAGTAAATGCGCTACCGAAAAATTAGAATCTTTTAAAAGTGAGTTATATATTAGATTTTAAAATTTATATTATATCAATTATTTTTAATATTTAGGGCGCCATATATGAAATGCTAAAGATTCTGATTCATATATTCAAGAAGTATAAATTTGGTTGAATATATTTTATTAATATTAATATATGTTATATTAGCAAAAAATTTTATAAAAAATTATAAATAAAGTAATAAATTGAATTTCTTTTATCGATAGGCAATTTCTATAATTGAATGAAAGCCCCATTTATTGTTATTTTCACTTACAAGATAAATACTCCTTTAAATTATATCAAATAGTCTAAGAAAAACCACATTAAAAACTGATTTAAATATAAATTTATGCAAAGACGCCCCCTTTCGGGAAAATATTTATACACTTTTCTAAACATTTTTATCGATTTTGAGAATGAAGATGGCCTCGTCCCAGATCAATTTTTTTTTATAAATATAAAGGAAGAGTTCAGTGTTGTCTACTAAATTTTTTAAAAAAATTGAAGGTCGTATAATTTCTAAAAAATCGTTTTTAGTCCTTATATATTTAATAAAATGGCCGGAAATTGAAAAAAAAAATTTTTTTTTTTTTATCTAAAAGTAGAATCTTTGTAAGTAATTTTGATATTAAATTTGTTATTTACAATTAGATAGTTTTTAAGATATGCTTAATTGAATGAAGGCAGATAATGGTAAAAATACGACATTTTTGCCACTTTGAACCCTAATATCTCCAAAAATATAAATGTTACGAGGCTAAAATTTTGGCTATTTCTTAACTACACTAACCTTTCTTTGCTTACTAAATTTTAAAAAAATCGAAGGGGGTTCGGCCGAAAATCTCATTTTTTTTGCTCATTTGACATGGAATGACCCTACTATGAATTAAATGGTCTTGCTAACCATCATTTATTTTTTTTATTTAATTGGTAAACATAATTTTATTAAACGGGTCAGATGTAGCTTGGAATTTTATCAAGATTGATAGATAAGAGATTGGTTAAAGATATAAAATTAGCCGTTCCATTGCTACTTCGGTTTTATTGTTTGTTAAATTTGAAACAAGGGGTTAGAAGGTGTAGGTAAAGCTATTATAATAATGTGGATGGATGGTGTGGTGAGTTACAAAAACAACCATTTAATAATAATTAAATAAAGTAATCTAATTTAGAATTAATCTTTTTTTTAAAAATTTTGCCAAATAACCAAACATTTTAAAAATGATTAGATAGCTTATTTGATTTATATAATGTGTAATATTTTGTTATAAACAATTGATTTATCCTCAGAAAAAAAAGGTTAATTAAACCATATTTATCATAATATGATTCATAAGAACTAAAAGGAAGGAAATTTTTAAAATTTTAATTTTTGGGACGTACTCAGGGCACATAATTGGAAAATAACAGTGGCTAAAATTAAAAATTATGATCTTACCGTTACTATTCCAAGACAATTTTTAAAATGAAAATCTTCAACATTTGGACTTGACATGTTTATTTAATTATATGAGGTATCCCCCCCCCCTTCCCGATTTTCCGGAGGTTCTTTTCTGAAGTATTTTTTGTGTTCTATAAAAAACTATTATATGTATATACAATAAGATAGATATTATAATTTAATTTTACGATTGAAATCATCATATATAATTACAATATTCTTACCCTTTCTAATAAGGAGAGACTAGATTTTAAAGCGCCTTCGGGCCTTCCAAAAGGAAAACAGTATCTTATTTCATAAAGAAAAATAATTATTATATAAATAAATTAAAAAGTTAGTAAATAATGTAACTGCTTAAGTATGTCACGTGACTACCATTATTTTTATAATTAAAGTAGCTCTTTATATTATATGATTATTCTCTTAGTTATTTCATATGGACTAACCCTATCACATATCAAGGCTTTATCATTCAAGTCTATGACTACTATGAGGGATTTAAATGCACCCCTAAGTTGCTGTTACAGTAGAATATAATGATAATCACATGCCTATTTTTACTCATTTACCATGGGATTGTAAAATGCCATTATAAATAAGTATACTTTGTTCGTTCGTTTTTCTTCTTATATATTATTATATAAACCTAAAATTTGTGATCTGATGTTCTAGAAGTATTCTAATCTTTTCCTTTATCAAGTCGAATTTCTCCTTTTCTTCGTATAAAACTGTACCTATACCGTCTGGCCTAAACAAATAATAAGAAATAATTCACATAACAACTTTGATCATAATGTCTTTCTTTTGTTTTTTTCTCTTTTAGATATAAATTATTAAGATTTATAACCTATGGTAAAAAAACATGAATCCTAAGGCAGAGCTCTATAGGAGTGTGGGTAATGTGATTTTTTGATTATATTAATAAATGATATTCACTTGAGTTTTGTTAGTTTGAATCATCTTTTGCTTAATTTCTTTTTAACTCCCGCTCTCTAATTACTTTTTACTAATTTTCAATACTTTTTAATCTTTTAAACTTAGTTAAAATGCTGGAAAAAAAATATTCTACACTACTAACTAATATAAAATATAAGTAAAAAAATGAAGAATATAATAAATCACCTATTTCCATGAACATGGGAAGCGCAAAATGCGTAGGAATAATGTAAGAGAGTGGGATCTATCATGACCCCGGCTTGAGCCTTGGTTATAAGGTTATCCAGGTAGCCAAGGTGCCTCATACATCCCCTTACTCCGTACCTACTGCAATATTCTTCCAGCACAAATATTTGACCGGGACTGAACCAGCCCTAAAAGAAAATTAATTATCCATCGTTAAAATAATTGTATAATCAATTATAATCGTGAAATATAGTTATATAGTAAAAAAAATAATGAAGAAAATTATGTGTGTAAATTGTAAAATATATTAATAATATAACTACATAAATATGGGTTTATTATTACTTATCTGAATAATAATCCACATAAATATATTCTTAATTTCTAATTATTGATAATATAATTAATCATCTATGGATAAACGATAATTAAATTAATGCAATACTAATAGATATACATAAACAATTACAAGATGCTATATTTTTCTTAGTACACCTCACATCTCAGCAGTTGTGCCACACATGTTTACATCTTGTCAGAACGGCTTCCAGCGAGTCCATTATTTTTTGAATATTTTTTATATTACCTTATAACTTATGTCCCTTTATGTTAGATGTAAAAAATAAAAACCCGAGCAAAATTTTTACTTAAAAAAATTATATAGCAAGTAAAAATGAGTATAATATTATAATTAATCATGTGATCATTGATGATCAATTGAATATACATTACTTGTAAATTATTATTTTATGATGCAAAAATTTCTTTCTGTTTTTGTTTTTAAAAATAAAGATATAGTGTTATTCATGCGTATTAAAAAATATGAATGATTATAAATAGTCTTTGATAATTGCTATATAAGATATTATTATAGTTCATATATTTTTACATTCTATTTGGATTATATTATTATGATGATCGACATTATATATTTTCTAGTGAATGCAACAATAAAGTCATATGAAATATAGTTTACTATAATAGTGACGAAGGATTTTATGAATAAAGAAGAAAAACCAACTACTGTAATTGGTAAAAGTGATGAATCAAACATTTTAATTAATAAGAATGGTGAGATGAATATTTTAAGTGAAGCGAATAATGGTAATCAAGTAAAAAACAATTTTGAATCAATAAATATAACACAAGTAAAACTTGATAATTTTGATAAACAAAACAATTTTCAAGATTATATTGAATATATAGATATGTTGGAGATAAGAGGGATATTATAAGGAAACCAAGAAAAAAATATTATTTGCATACATGGGGAATAGTAATTTGGCAGAGATGAGGTCATTTATATATCCAAGAATCTTGAAGGAACTTAATTATGAGGAGATAGTTGAAGTTGGTAAGGCAGTGTTTAAGCCCCCTTCAACTTTGTTTAGCTCTAGGATTAAGTTTATGCGAATAGAAAGAGGGGAAGGCAAAGCATTTGCTGAATTTGCAGGTCGACTTAAAAGATTGATACAAGAGTGTAAGTTCTAATCTAACCTTGGTGGGTGAGGGATCAGATGGTGACTGGAATTAAAATGGCTGAATTGGAGAAAGAAATTTGCACCAGATTTTCAGAAGGAATAAATGACCTGGGAGAAAGGGTGAGCTTTCAACACGTTTAAATATGGCTTTGGCAATGGAAAGAGCTGAGGATGAAATTAATGATGGTAAAAAAGGTGAATAAATATAAGGAGCAACTGGAGAATATCAAAGAAATCCTTTTAATCAAAAGTACCTATATAATATTAAAGAAAAAGAAAATTTTAATTATTACAATAATAATAACAATTTTAAGTACAGAGATAATAGTAAATTATAATAATGATATGGGTAAGAACGCCTAGCGACATTTTATCACACGACACTTTATCATGACGACACTTTATCACGACGACACTTTATCACGACGACACTTTATCATGACGAAACTTTATCACGACGACACTTTATCACTCAGTCATTTGATAACGCGACACTTTATCACGCGACATTTTATCATGATATACTTAAAACTTAATTTATTATAATTGAAAAGTTAAATTTTGATAATATCTCATTTTTTGACTTTCATCATGATATACTTAAAACTTAATTTTATATATTTGAAAAGTTAAATTTTGATAATATCTCATTTTTTGACTTTCATCATGATATACTTAAAACTTAATTTTATATATTTGAAAAGTTAAATTTTGATAATATCTCATTTTTTGACTTTCATCATGATATACTTAAAACTTAATTTTATATATTTGAAAAGTTAAATTTTGATAATATCTCATTTTTTGACTTTTCCGTCTAAATCCCAATATTTAAAAAATTTAAATTAATTTTTTATGTTAACGCGACACTTTATCATGATATACTTAAAACTTAATTTATTATAATTGAAAAGTTAAATTTTGATAATATCTCATTTTTTGACTTTTCCGTCTAAATTTCAATATTTAAAAAATTTAAATTAATTTTTTTTTGTTAACGCCACACTTTATCATGATATACTTAAAACTTAATTTAATATATTTGAAAAAATAAAATTTTGATAATATCTCATTTTTTGACTTTTCCGTCTAAATTTCAATATTTAAAAAATTTAAATTAATTTTTTTTGTATTTTTTTTATTGAGAAAAACTCATATTTTAATTTACATAAATATAATTTTTTTTAACTTAATTATCATCTTATATAGGGAAACAGGAGACATAAGCAATAATTTTCTATTTATACTTTTTATTAATAAGTAACTATAAATCAATAAAACACCACACTTAAATTAATGTGTTTATCTATTGATATTTTTAAGCTAATCGTTGTTTCACAAAGATTTATAATTTTTACAAATTAAGGTTTTGTATTTACCCATAAATATAATAATATATTTTTTTCTATATATACCTCAATTTTTTATATTATTATATATTAAAGAATATTTTTTTTATTAATTATAATGTTTGAATTAGGATTTACATCGAAAAATAAACCTACCCTTTTATATCAAAATTACGAATATACTAAATTTAGGACAAATAAAAATGAATCAATATGCTGGAGATGCGCCAAATATAAATCTCTAAAATGCCATTCTTTTATTACAACAAAATTGAATGATATCTTAAAAGGTCCCCTTGATCATACTCATGAGGGTAACATTTCAAAATCTTATGCTCGAAAAGCAATATCAGAAATGAAATCCAAATTAAGTGAATATTCTAGTCCTTCTTTGGTCCATGCAACAACATTGTTAAATTATGATAATAATACTTTGATGGTTATGCCAAATAAGTCTGCCCTTTATCGATCCTTACAAAGGCATAAAAAATCGATCTCTACCATTATATTGCCTCCTATCCCTAAGGATCTCACTTTCTTATATCCGGAATGTTACAGGGATATGCTCAAATACGATTCTGGGCCAGATGATAATTTAAGATTTATAATGTTGAGCACGGACGAACTACTCGAAGGATTATCAAGATCGGATATATGGATATGTGATGGTACCTTTAAAATTGTACCTGAAATATTCTTCCAACTTTATACCATCCACTTTCAAATTGCACCGGGCGCGAATTTGATGGTATATATTGCTTATTACCAAATAAAACGGCGCATACATATGCAAGGATGATAAAAGTAATCATATTATATATTTTAAGAGATGTAATTTAAATTTTATTATAGGAGCTGAAACAATTACTACCAGGGGCGCATCCGAGGAAAATATTGGTGGATTTCGAACAGGCACCGATAAATGCGTTTAGAGCTGAGTATCCACTAGCAGATATCCTTGGATGTTATTTTCATCTAAAACAGAGCGTTAATAGAAAAATAAACGATTTGGGATTAAAAGAGATGTATGAGTCGAATGATGACTTTCGATTGTATAGTAGGTGTTTATCGGCTCTTGCATATGTCCCAGAGGATGATGTTGGAAACTCATTTGATACTTTGGCAGAAATATTTGGTGAATTGAATGGCTCATCTGAGCTAATTTCCTACTTTGAGAAGACCTATATCCGAGGACGTAGAAATCCCAGTAAAAAAATATTTTTTTTATTATAAATTTTTATATTTATAGGGCAACGAAATAACTTTGCAGCGCCTTTATATAATGTAAGACTATGGAATAAACACAATTCCACGTTAGAAGGTGTCGCCCGAACAACAAATTGTGTTGAAGGGTGGCACTATGGAATTCAATCCCTACACCAATGTTCTCATCCAACACTATGGAAATTTTTAGATGGGATACAAAAAGATATGCAGAAACATAAAGCTCTATATCTTCAAGTCGTGATGTCAAAAGCTATTGCCCATATTTCGTGCAATTAAATATATTATAAATAATTTATATTTTTTACTCGTGCGTGATATATTGATTTATAGTTACTTATTAATAAAAAGTATAAATAGAAAATTATTGCTTGTCTCCTGTTTCCCTATATAAGATGATAATTAAGTTAAAAAAAATTATATTTATGTAAATTAAAATATGAGTTTTTCTCAATAAAAAAAATTAATTTAAATTTTTTAAATATTGGAATTTAGACGGAAAAGTTAAAAAATGAGATATTATCAAGATTTAATTTTTTCAAATATATTAAATTAAGTTTTAAGTATATCATGATAAAGTGTGGCGTTAACAAAAAAAAATTAATTTAAATTTTTTAAATATTGAAATTTAGACGGAAAAGTCAAAAAATGAGATATTATCAAAATTTTATTTTTTCAATTATATTAAATTAAGTTTTAAGTATATCATGATAAAATGTAGCGTGATAAAGTGTCGCGTTATCAAATGACTGAGTGATAAAGTGTCGTCGTGATAAAGTGTCGCATGATAAAGTGTCGCGTGATAAAGTGTCGCGTGATAAAGTGTCGCGTGATAAAGTGTCGCGTGATAAAGTGACTCCAAATCGGGTAAGAACAATGACTGTTCACGATGTGGAAGAACTCACACCTCAATCCAATGTTTTGCATCAAGGGTGAAATGATACAATTGCCAAAAGATAGAGCACTATCCATAATACCAACTGTGGATGATCTATTGGACAAATTACAAGGGGGGTTGAAATTTACTGTCATAGATTTAAAAAATGCTTATTTGCAGCTACCAATAAAAGAGAGCTCAAAGGAATACCTAACTATATCAACCCATATTGGCTATTTTCGATATCAATGTATGCCTTTCGGCCTTTCTACTGTGGATTCGCGATAAAAGTTTCGCTATAAAATCCATTCGCGATAAAAGTTTCGCGGACTTTTTTCCAAAGATATATGGATAATCTATTACAGGACTGCCAAATGACACAATGTGAAAAAAGTATTAATGAAATTAAAACAGGCTGGTATGAAGGCAAAATGGGCTTTTTTTTAAAATAATCAGTTTCTTTTCTAGGATTTGTAATAGATAAAGATGGCATGTACCCAGAGAAATAAAAAATAGATGCTATTCGAAGGATACCAACTCCTATGAATATACACCATTTGCGATTTTTTTTAAGACTTGTGAATTATCACGAGAGATTTTTACCACATTTACATGGTATAGCCGCTCCGCTGCATAAATGAACAAGATGTATTTAATAAAATATAAAATAAAGCATCATTTGTCAACAGATAAAACATTAATTCCATATTCGTCAAACTTGCAAATTATATTGGAATGCGACGCCCTTAACACTGGTTTTGGAGCTGTGTAACTTCACATAGTTAAAAAGGATTTTAGCAGACCTATCGCATTTGCTTCGCGAACATTATTGGAGTCAGAGAAAAATTATGCACTAACAGAAAAAGAAGCACGAGAACTTTTGTTTGGAATGGAAAAATATTATACTTTCATTTTTAAACGAAAATTTATATTGCGAACAGATCACAAACCTTCGGAAAATTATTTGGTAATAAACGTGAACTACCAAAAATATCCAATAGTCGATTAATGTGCTAGGCATGGAAAATATCTGCATATGATTTTGAAATTGAATATCGTCCAGGAAAAGAAAACAGTGGCTGATACATTATCTAGACTGCCAGTAGCAAGTATGGAGTCAAATAATGACCAGAAACATGCATTAAAAATTAGAGCTATAAATTTGCTCGATATAAATCTTGGTCAAATTGAACTCCAGAAAGAAACAAGGAAAGATAGATTGCTAAATAAAGTAATTAAAAAGATTGAGAGATGATGGGTGGAGTTTGATGCGAAAAATGATGTAGAGTTAATTTGTTTTAATAATTGTAGGGAGGATTGTCAGTAGATCGTGATGTCATTGAATGGAAGGGAAAGTTGGTAATTCCAACCGTGATGTGGAAATCAATATTAACTTATATACACAGAGGGCATCCAGGAATAAATGATATGAAATCAATTTTTAGAATTTAATGTTGGTGGCCTAATGCAATAAAGATATTGAACAACATATTCGTCAATGTATGCCATGTCAAAGTAACCGGTCGAATATAATGGAGGTTCCTCTATATTCGTGAAACATATCTAATAAGCCATGGGAACGCATATATCTAGATTTCGCGGGACCTATCGATTCGTATTCATGGTTAGTTGGAGTTGATGTACATTCAAATGGGTTGAGGTAGAGTTGATGAGAGAGACAACGTCTAGAACAATGATCAGGTAAGAAAATGGTTCGCACATTTTGGAACGCTAAGACAACTTGTGTCAGATAATGGCCCTCAGTTTAGTTCTGGAAATTTCGAAAATTCTGTTTAAAGATAAATATTAAATTAATACATTCAACAGTTACCATCCCAAAACGAATGGGTTAGCTGAAAGAACAATACGAACACTAGTCGATATTTTGCCACTTGAAAAGATATTAAAGAGCCAAAGGAAGCTATGGGGAAAGTTTTGAAAGCATACAGAAAAGGCGAGCACCAATCAACTGGGCGTTCACCGGCGAAATTATTGTTAGGGCGCAATCTAAAAACTGGATTAGATTGGTTACATCCAAATGTTAAAGATGAGATGAAACGATCTAATATACGACAAAAGATAGCGCATGTTGAACACATTCAAATGAGGGAATTCGAGGTTTCACAGCCAGTATGGGTACATAATGAAATTAATTCCGGATGTAGAGAAGGAATTATAAAATCCAGAACTGGTAGATATTCCTATTTGGTAGAAAGTAAGGATAGAATGCTACAAAAGCATGCGGATCAACTGCGAAAACGGGATGTAGCGAAAGATAGAGAAATAAGGAGAGAGGAAGAAAATGAAGAAAATATGGAGTCGGAAATAGTTGAGAATTTGGAAAATGTAGAAGGATCACCAATAGAGAGAGATAACGGCGAAACGGGAAAAACTGATGAAAATTCAGGTCCACAGGATGTTTTTATTACCTCGAGAACTATAAACAACAATGAGGGGGAAATCATAAAGATCGAGGAAGCCTACACATCGTCTGATTGAAGAGTTTTAAAATCTTAAGTGTGGGGAAATGTGATAAATGCTAGATAAGATATTATTATAGTTCATACATTTTATATTACACTATATTTGGATTATATTATCATGATGATTGATATTATATATTTTCTAGTGAATGCAATAATAAAATCATATGTAATATAGTTTACTAAATAGTCTAATACAGAATGTAATATTAATTAAATTTATCAAAGTCCAGAAAGTGGATTTTACATTCTTTTCCAAAGAAAAAATTATCAAAAGAATCCCAAGTTATAAAGAATTAAAATTTGTATAAATATATACCAAAGAGGCTATAGGTTCCCCAAGCCGGTGATCCAAGGTTAATTTTTGAACGAGTGTGAATAAGGCATTATGATCAAATTTGCATGGATCAGCTTGAACGAGGTCATCCATTCCATGCTTCCTTATTCTATCACTCTCTAATATGAGATAAAATCGTAATTTTGTGTAGTGGTCAAGATTCGGTCTTAAATCCAGACCGAAACGAAAATGGGAAACGAGGCAAAATGAAATCTTTCACAATTAAAAATTGCTCTCGTAAATTATAGAAACTGAGAGATTCTGAATCATAAGTGAGGATTACTATGCATAAAATGACATCTTACAAGAATTCATAATTATTATTAAAAGTTTATAAAATATGAAGTATATATAATATTATAATAATAATTAAAATAACTTTTTTATAAAGAACTTGAAAGAAAGAATGATAGAAAAATTGCCTAAAAAAAAGAAGATTTATTAAGATAGAAATTTTTTTAAATATTTATTATTATATCATTAAAGCACAAATTTTTTTTAAATATAACCTTTATCGTTCATTAAGGGGCTAGGTGGAATGGGTCTGTGCGACTGACCGGTGGCCCTGCATAGAGCCTGTACCCAGAGAGCTCTATCGTTCTCTTCTTCGCTGGCAAAAACGATATTCTCACCTTCTTTAACCGCGGTAAAAAAGTAATGGCCACCTACCAAACCTTGAAAAATTGTTCGGTTTGAAAATTTTTAACAAAAAATTGATATCAAAAATCAGAGTTTCGATAAACGGGTCAAAAGGAAGGCCCCTTTAAAAAATGAACTTATGATAGAAATGATGCATAAAAATACAAATTCAGTTTGAAAATTAACCTGGGATAGATTGAGCGAAATCAATGGTAAAACCATCTAGTTGCATCATTTCTCTAGGATCAGCCTTTTTCTCACGATAGCTACACATAGCGAAAGTGTATTGAGAAACCTGAACAGGGTGTCATATTATGAGTAATATATAAAATATTAGTAAGAGTCTGTAGAAGAATAGTGATTCAAGGTCGTTATCTTTTTAATGTGAAAAATAAAATGTTACTACCCACTAAACGAGTTGATCATCAATATAATTTTATTTTTAAAATATGAAATTTCGAATAATAAGATGATCGGATATCAAGGGGCGCTCGGAGAGGAGCTCAAGTATAATGTATAAAGATTTTTTTAAATATCACTTTAAAGGATTTTTAGTATTTTTCATTCTGGAAAATTAAATTTATAAATTATACATATATTTAGATTTCTCTATTTAAATATATTTAAATTATTAGAGAGTTTTGCCCTTCCTAATAAAATCATTACTATAAATTTATATATTTTAAAAATCAATTATGTTAAAATAATCAAGGAAGTGGAATATTTGAATTTAAAAATTCCCCTATCAAGGCAAACGGTACATGGACTTACTTTTCTGAAACCTATAAATAATCAACCTTAAGAAACAAGCAAAAAATAATTGATTTAAATCAATTTGATTAAATCATGCCAAGCCTATTTTTTGCCCTCTCCTAAAAAATTGGGGGCGCCCCTGCCTGCCATATAATGATTCCCTAGGAGAACAACGAGAAAAGCTAATATTTAAAAGAATGCAAGTTTATTTATACCTGAACGAGTACAAAGTACCGTTTTCTCCACTTTTTCCAAAGATTTTTGCTTCCTTTGGCGTAAAGGTATCCTCCGTGTTTCATATTCTGCGGTTTGTCCATCCTAATAGTCACCTTGATTTTGAGACTAGATTCTGAGTTAGGTAGAGATGCGGCATTATCTTTGGTCGACTGTGAAGAAGTTTTAACATTGGGAGCCAACATTTTGTACCATTCGGGCATTTTTGAGGAGAAAGGTGTGGGCTTGATGACGACTTTTCCCAGTTCTTTGTCTTCGAGTTTTAGCATCTTCACATTTTTGGCGTAGAGTTTAATTTTTATTATAGGAAGAGTGTGGGCAGTAACGAAATCGCCTTGGCTATCCCAACTTTAAAGCGAGGGAGGGAGTGTTGGAAGAAGAATTATAAATTTAAGTTAACAAATAACAAGTCAATAAAGGTAAATATTGTAAGAGATAGAATCAATGCAGAACATCCTTTTTCTTTAAGAATAAAATATTTGATTAGCAGGCCCGTGCAAAATGAAGACTAGGTGGGCAACGGCCATAGGCCACCAATTAGACTATTTTAGAGGCCAACATTAATTTGTTTCCTACAGTGAATTGAAAATTTAAATATAACCAATTATGCTTACCGTAAGCACAAGTCTTGTCTATTATAAATTGTATATAAATATCAGAGACTTGCAGCCTCGCCGGATCTAAAAAATGAAAAAATTTGCAAACCGAGGCTGGCCTAATTTTTTTAAAATTATATAAATGAATCAGTCCCATGATTGATCATACATTCGGGGAGAAAAATGGTGAATTTAAAAAACCCTGGGTGGATCTGAAAATGGGTACCCGTCTCTAATAAATTTAGACAAAATGTTTTCAATATGCCAAAGGAGAAAAATCTGTCATAAGCGTTACCTTTAGCAGGTCCATTACACTTCCGCCTCTGATTAACTGAATATAGGGTATGTTCATTATGGTAAAATAGGAAGCCTTTATATATCAAAGTAGTGGCACCGTTAAGGGAAGATAAAGTTTATTTGTTATTTGAGCAAGATGATTCTTCGAGAAGGACTCTTTTTGCCTAAATAATAACAGCTAGCACACTACTGTATAAAAGCTTCATAAACCACATATATAAAAAATAGGCCTTAGTCTGCATAAATAATCGTTATAATTCAACCAGGGTTTAGAAACTTCTGCCATATCTGTCTGGAGTTTGACTCCACCGTCCACTTCCATAGTGCAATATATCAAACGGTTGGGATTTAAATTAACCAAGCCTTTTACTTCCATCACGATTACCTATTTTTTAATTTATTTATTTTTTCAAAAAAAAATTATAGGGCAACTTAGGTAACCTTAAGCACAATTGGGACCACTGCTTCAAAAAGTTAAAATTGGCTTTTAAAGCAATATTAAATAATAAGACTTGAGAAGGGGACTGAGTCAACAATTTTCATCAAAAATTTCTAAAAAAAATTGAAACTGTATTTATCGTTTTAAATTTTCACAAATTCTCAATCGTTTCACCGATCCAATCCGATATTACTAAATTTATTTTTATTTACTATCTATCTTTGAACCAATGTAACAAAAATATTAATATTTTCTATTTTAAAAAAAACCAACTAATTTCCACGAATGATTAAAGTGTATTTTATTTATTCTCCAAAAGAATCTCATTTAATCAATTTGCGATAATTATAAGTGAATGTAGTGTTGTTAAACAGCTCTATTTAGCCGATTTTTAAAAAGGGCTAAATTAATATTTAAGCCAAAATATTATTACCTAAGCCTCGAAATTAATAAAAGTGATAACCTCTCGATCATCTGTGGGCAAAATAAATACGCTTGAGAAATTTACTTTGGGGTAAAATCTGAGTAAATTGTTCTTAAAAATTGGATAAATTGAGTCGTTTAACAACATTAGCTAAATGTGACTCGTTAGATATTTTTAAATTCTTTTCTTGTCGAAGATAACATAATAAAAAATAGTGTACAATTTATATCAATTTATTTAAACATTACAATAAATAAATTGTATTTTAGTTCCCTTAATTAATTTATTTTTATAATAATTATTATCCAATAATAAAATAACCAAAAACAAAAAAAATATCCGATCTGATCTGTTTTTAAAAAATATAGGCACAATCTGATATTTATATTTTTTGGGCCGATACTTTTGAAAAATCAAAATATCGGTGCCGATTCGATCCGATATTTAATATCGACACAACCCTACAAATTATTATTATTTATAAAAAACGAATATGATGATTAAATTAATAATTCATTATAATTATTAAACTAGGTTTTTATTTATTTCATTGAACCATAAGATTAACAAGAATCAAAAACGATAATATTTCTATGATTAAATAGATTTAAATCGATCCATACCTGACTTTCACTCAAAAGTTTTTTGGAAAACGAAAAATACATAATATAGCTAAATGATAATCTGAGGAATGTATTGATTGATATTATAATATATATATAATATGCGTAAGATAAGGGGAAAATCTTGCAAAATAACTTAATGGTAACAAATTTAATTTTAGCCTCAATTGTCGACATTTTCTTGCGGCATCATGAGTAAACTATTCACTTGGTCTTATGACCAGTTCACCAATCTAGATAGTTAAATCATTTTGTAAAAATGCTTATAAATCAGGAATTCAAACCGACTCTGAACCGTTAAAAATCTCACCCAAACTTTAACCTATAAAATATTTGGCAACCCTGTTCGAGCTATATCCCAATTCTTTTAAGAGTTATTATTAATAATCAATTTTGATTGATAGTATCAGTAACTTTTTTTAGATATTTTTGTATATTGCTATTTGACGCTGCCAGCTACCCAGGTTTGGGTATAGATTCAAACATAGAATATTTTTTTTCCTCTCTATAGATATAATTTGTAGAATTAAATCTTTAAATTTTTTTTAATTGTATATGGCTCAATTTTATTTTTTTTTGGTGGATAAGCATAAAATTTTAAAAAGGGTTCCTCACTACTTTACATATTTCTAATAAATATGTATGCAAAAATATTCTAACCGGTTTTATAAAAGTTCAAACTGAAGCGATATTATTTTTTTTAGCGACCAAAACTGAGCCGTTATTTTTATCTGAACCTAAACCTGAGCAGATATTCATTATGGTTCGGATCCCTGATTGCGTTAATCAAATATTAAGATTTTAGAGATATGTTCTGTTGTTAAAAAAAATTCCCTCCATTTAACTTATTTTGTTCACTATTGTATATTTTTGAAGAAAGAATACTTCGTCGATTAAATCATTTATTTCATTTTAATATGTATAAATCAACAACTGATACGAGATTACAATATTATAAATTAATCATTCTTTACTTCAAGATTGAAAGATAGCACGACGTCTGTTTTGGACAAAGAATTTTCGTTACCATCCATAAAATCCATTTTGCTCAAGGAGGCGGTAGATCTAATTTAAGCAGATGTAAAAACATGGTTAAATCAATATATATGAAATAAGGGTATAAGGAAGGATATCTTATCAGATAAAGTAAATAAATATTCAAGGGCAAGTTTATATGGACTTCTTATCGAGATCATGATCCTAATATAAAAACAGTCCGACGAATTTATGGTTTGCGCCTTGACTTGAGCGTTCACTAGTGAGATAAGGTAATTACAAAGGGGTGATAAAGTTTTCACTAATGAAGGGTAAAATAAAGAGACAAGTAACCTGACTATCAAAATTTTATTATGAAAATAAGGACTAGTATATTAATTCAGTGCTAGGCATCTCATTTGATGTGGCTTATACCATATCTGGCTTACTAAAATAATTAGTAACACGTGTCCCATCATGGAATATTATAATCTATTTAAAAAAATAGATTATATATATCCAAAAAAATGTATACTTTTCTGAAAGTTCTAGACTATTAATTACTGGGTTGGAGAAAATTAATCAATACAAACTTGTATCTAATATATAGACTAATCATTATGACAATATTAAGGAAAAAAATTTATATTCATCCTAATTGTAGTAGAAGAGCTGACCAAAAGCAGCAAAAATATTTGACAAGGATCCGCGATTCTTCCATTACAATATAATATGCATAAAATTAAACTATCATGGCTTCCAATTGATCAATTTTTTTTGCCTTAAATCAATCTATGTATATTATATTATAATTGTATGATCTAATTTTTTTTTTTAATATTTAGTTTTTCTTGCTAAAAAAATTGTTTGGTATTGATTTAATAATGATTTAGAAAGAAATTTATATTAATAAAAAAAATTTTTTGGAGTATCTGAAAAATATTTAAGTTTGTTTTAGATAAATTTTACTATGTTTCTTTTCTTTGCGTTTTAAAGAAAATAGGGAAAAATTTATTGAGCTTCTATGAATCCTTTTAACATTAATTTGTTATACGTTGACGTTGTTAGTGAGGGATAAAAGCGGGTTCTAACTCAAGTCTCCTAGAATATTCTCATTATTTGAATAAAACGTTTTTTTTGAGAGGGCTTAAATAAATAATGACTTTTCAAAAAGTTAAATGCGTGACTCAGAGATGATTTAATTCTCAATTATAAATGATAATATTCTGTATTTTTTTTCGTCTTTATTTTCATGGCATCCCAATATTCCTTCTTCTAAAACTTATAATGAGGTTCCGATATTTGGCTTTAAAAATCATCGTTTTTTAAAAAAAAATCGAGTTGAAAAATAAATAAAAGATTTACAAACCCTGTAGGGTAAATAAAATAAATGAACCTATGATGGTGATGGTATCCTTTGAACTTTTGTAAGGAATATTTGGAATCGGTAGCTGTCTTAGAAACAGGTAAACTCTCCAAGTTAACCATCAGCTGATTGATCTGTTTTCTCACCTCGTCGAAGTATAGTATTTCCATCTCTTTTTGCAAAACGAATTTCGGTAATAGTTTTCTGTCCTATTCGTTTTGATTTTTAAAAAAAATATATATATTGTATCTTTAAAAAAGGTCAATGTTGAGACCCCAGGCCAAATATTCTACTCGAGTGGATATGGTGTTCAATCTTAATAAGGGTTCATAATAATAATATTGGTGAAGCATTCAAATCAAGAACTCAAAATTTATAATCGTTACTCATAATTCGACATGATTTATTGGAAAAAAATGAATATTTGTGCGAAACTACATCGAATTTATTGTAAATACCAATGGTTTTAATTTTTAATATACTTTTTATTAGTATAACATCTGTAATTTAACTATACCATAACTTATGTCATTTAAATATATTCTAATGATCAGTTATAGTTTATTATATTCAATTCAATTGCAATTCTAAAAGTATATAAAATATTTTTATTGTTAAATAACTTTTATATAATAGTAATAAACATTAATCTACATAATAAGTAATAAACAATTATAATATGAAATTTGAATAAATATTCAAAATAATATTTAACATTAATATATTGAAGATTTCTTTTTAGAAATACCAATATTTCCAATTTATCAGAGATCAGCTTATGGCGATAGTACACCAGCTTCACTAAAAACAGATTCTGAAGAGAATATCGCACACTTTTATAAACAGAATGCGCAAAAAAATAACAATTAGGCAGGATGTTTATTAATTAATTATTATTATAATTCTTAAAAACTTTTTTAAAAAATTTTATAACATTTTATTTTTGTTAAAGAAGCCATTTTATATCGGATAAATTTTATAATATTGGCCGTTAACCGATATTTAAAAATGGGAAATCGGCCCGATATTATTTATACAATATAAAATATACCACTATATCATCAAGGCCAGGGGCAATAAAATGACGCTTGTAAAATGTATTTAAAATGTTTTAGAGAGACCAAATTACATATCGACAAATAGAACATAAGAATGGTTTAAAAACAGCGTGTAATGTGAAATATTATATGAAGCAGAAATGCATCAGTCCGATAATGTTAGTATCGGACAGATACTTTTAATTTTTATCGATACTACTTGCCGACAAATTAATTTTTACCAATACTACTGATCGATAAATTAATTTTTATTAGATTGTTATTTATCATACATATAATGTTGAAGATTAGTTTTTTTTATTAAAAAAATTTATCATAATAAAATAAAAATAAATTATTTTTTGTTAAGTATGTGTAATATTTGATAAAACTGTTTAAAATATATCTGAAAAAGAAAAATATTTTGAGAATGATAAGCTTAGGATAATCCTATTAAGCATTCTTATCAATTACCTATCTTCTATTTATCTTAATTATAATAATCATTAAAGCGACCATATCTCTTAGCATATGCTTATTCACTCACCTATCAAAGAAATCATCTCTTTTTTTATAGCATCCTGAGCAAATGGGATTTGGACCTAGATCTGAATAGGAAAACAAAGGATGCAAGCTATATTTTTTTTATAATTAATTTATCATTTTTTAAAAATAAGTATCTCTGGTATCGGCGAAAAAAAAATGCCATCGATACATCTTTGATAGATGGGGGAGGGGAATAGGGCGTCTACCTCTCGATTATAAATGAAGTTTGATTAGAATAGAACCCTGTAATATAAAATAAAAGCCATAATTTTTATTGATAAACTTTTGTGCATTTTTCCAGCATCTGCAAACGGCTATCCAATTCTCTTCTGATCGTGGCTGCTTGTTCATCTTGATTATCTAGCTATAACATTTTTTTTAAATGATAGAAATTGAATTTTTTTTACTGTTATAATTATAAATCGTAAAATCTAATTTAAAAAAGATAACGCGAAATTTTCAAGAAAAAGGGGAAATGATACTGATACTAAAAATAAAAAGACGACAAAGGAAAACTAAAAAGAGGGGTTAGAAAGGATACTTAATTATATTAAGTGAATACACAAATAAATTAGAAGGCCTGATTGATTCTACTATTTGTGATTACCATCTCAATAAATAGACCATCTTTACGTGGGTATTTTTCTTAAAAAAAAATAAATAAAAAAAACAACCACGAGTGGGGGAGGGGCGGGGGGTCTAGCAATTTTTTTTAAACCATAGATTTAAAACAATTTCTGGTTCAATCATACTTTGCATAATTAAATGAATAACTTAGATTAAATCCAATAAAAAAAATCATTTAAAAAATAACTTATCTAAAAAAAATTTAAAAAATATTTGTATCAGTTAATATTATTGGAATTTAATATATTTCATTCCTCATTTCTTAAACATTATAATGCATAAATTTATTATTAGGTACAGATTTTTCATTTTATAATTCAATGGTTAGATACAGATAATATAAAATAAATGCCCAGCTACAATGTTTGGCCATATAAAATCCATCTTAAAAGAATGTCTGTTTTAAAAAAAATATTTAATAATAAATAATGTCTTCGAATTATTTAAGAATATCCTTTAAATAATCTAGATAACTGACCACCACCCCCCTCTTCCCTTCAATTTATTATATCTCCTTTTACTGAAGCCAAAGAATACACCGATAAAAGATATATGGAGAGCAGAAGGAATACAATTAGTGGAATTTAATAGCATAAATCAATAATGACTGATAAAAAAATCTTTAATTTAAAGATTTTTTTATTGATTACGAATTACGTTGCATTAAGAAAGGCCCTAACCATATTATAATGGTAAAAGGGATTTGTGATAAAAAATAATTGAATTTATAATTCAATTCATGTTCAGAGTAGTGTTGTTATTAACGGCTAGATTTTACCAATTTTAAATTTGGATTTTAACCAAAATAATATTAGGCGAACCCCGAGATTTCGTTAATAAATATCCAAACCTTTATGCCATCTATGAGCAAAAACTCCAGGCTTGCGCAATATAATTTGGCAAAAATATTGGGATACCCATTTTTAAAAATCGAGCAAATACTAGTTCAGAGATATTTCTCTGGATGTAATGAAAAATGAGAAATAAATCAAAATTATGTAATAATTAAAAGGGGTTCGCCATATCATATAGCTAGAATTTTCTGAAGGAAGGGTGGGGGGGGGGGTACTGCATTAGATATTGTATATATTTATCTTAAAAAAAGATCTAAAAAACTCTCATAAAACTAGAGTTTTGGATCAGTCAAAAAACTTAAGGGTCCGTGGTCCGGGCTCAGATAATTTTTAAGAAATTATCAATTGTTAGAGGTTTAAAAATATATTCAAATTTTTTTATTATTAAATATAGAATGGATTTATAGTTTAAAAGACCGATAGTTCGTTAAAAAAAACGTGCTTCTCTAAATATAATTATAATAAATTTGCTAAACCGATATTCGTTAAAATTCGTATTCCTGCGCAAGAAAAATTGTTATACTGAAATTCATTTGTATGAGATATTAATAAAGTAACCAATTAACGTATAAATGATAAGTTGTACTAAAATAGCTAAATATTTTGTTTCACATTCTAAATCAAATAAAATAGCGAAAAATATTTTGTGCTTAAAGAAAATTACAGATAAATAAATATAATTTACGAAAAAAAAGATATAAGTTGTGTACTGGTTCGACTTATCTAAACAGCCCTTAAAAGTAAGAGAGAGATACACAAAAAAATGAAGAAAAAAATATATAAAAAATAAAAATGCTACCAAACACTTTAAAAAACCAAAATAGGGCGTCAGGGTTCAAAAGCTATCCTAGACTAAAAAGAAATAAGAATAAAAAATAAGAACCAAAACGGGACCAAATTGTTTTAAAAAAATATTTAAATTAAATTTAATATTGTGAAAACTTGTTAAATGATTATTTTAAAAAGATCGAATCCCGATCTCTCAAAAAACAGGATCAAAATCCAGGATCAAATTTTTGATCGCGATCCCAATTCTGATCCTTTTACATTAAGGCAAAATAAATATTATTTTCAATTTTTTTTATTAAAAAAAAGGAAGCGGAAAATAAAAATTTTGAAATTCCAATGGACACTAAATTATGGTAGATTTCTTCTTTTTTAAAAAAAAAAAAATTAAGCGAAAATCTATCGAATAAGAATCTAAATCACCATCCTCATTTCCCCCAAATATAGAATCTAGCAACTTACTAAATAAAACGCTCAAATTTTATATTACTATAAAAGTAGATAGTCCCTTAATAATTTACAATAACGACCAAATTTTATCAGACCATTATTTTTTATATATCAATTGTATCTCTCTTCCTTAAAGTACGCGTGGTTTGTTTCGGAAAAAACGGTAAACCCCTACACCTCCTAGTAGGTAAAGTAAGTAAAATGCAAACTATTAAATAATATTGTTTCGACTCTAGTCCAAATCAGACCTTAGTTTGAATCAAGAATCAAATTATAGCTATTTAATATTACTAATGGGTCGGGGTTTTCCCCAATTTTATGGACCTTTTTGTAAATTTGATGGTTTTTTCCCCTGTGATATAATTTCCGAGAGTTTTTTTTCTAAAGCTTTTTCCCGGATATTTCTTTCGAGTTTGTTTCTCTTATTGTTGAAATTTTGTATGGTTATAGTTGACATTTATTTTGATATTTAAATTTCCATTTAGTTGGATATTACATATGATTAGTGTTGCGATGATTATTTATTTTAATGTTTAAATCAAATAAATTGATTTTGAAAAATATACAAATATCTATTTGCGAAATTGTAAAATCAACAATAATTTTTTTTCATAATACTGATTTAAAATTGCAATTTCTTTAGTTGAATAAAGTTAAATAAAATCCTAGTACCAAAGCTTCTAACACATATTAACAAGAAATTTAGTTTAAAAAAAAATCCTAATCAGCATAAAATCATATTCTTATATTTTTCGTAAATAAAATAGATCAAATTTTATCGTTTTTAAAATTAAATTAATGGGTGTGATTTATAAATAAAATAAATCTTTAATGCCCAAACCAAACACGTACGTCATATTATATCGATTTATTAAATATAAAAAGGCTATTAATTATTTATAAATATATTTTATAATTTACTAATTCCTCAATCGTCAATTACGCTAAAAATTTCAAATATAGTATAATCGGTTCGCTATTAGTATCTTAATCGGGCCCCGGAAAATCAATAAACTGCAATGTTTCTCATGTTAACGTGCTTAACACTTTAAATCTTTAGCTGGTAAGGTTATCATGGAAGTTATACTTATTCAAAAAAAATTTCTGAATAATTAATATTCTATTTAATCATTTTAGACTATTTATATAAAAAAATATAAGAAAATAATTTAAAAAAAAAAAACTTTTCAAATATTGCATTTGAAAATCAATAAATTATAATATTTGTTTCCTAAAAACTTGCATACCAAATATAATTCTATTCATCCTTTTAAAGGAAATAAAAGATTAATTCAAAATAATATAAGTCAGTTTTTTTTTGTCAAATTTTTCTTATTTATCTTTTTAATTCGGTATTATAACTTAAATCTTAAAAATCCTTTTAAAGTATAATACTTTGTCATTCAAATAAGCATAATATACTTAGGGCCGGTTATCATAAAAATACAACACTATTCACTGGCTTCAAACAATTGTATTGGTTTAAATTTCCCTATAGTGTAATGTATTTCTATTGGGTTATAGTAAAATGGGTTTATCATTGTTCAAAAGAAAAATTTCAAAAGTCAGATTTAAGTTTGGAGTCTCTACATCTTTGATTTTAATTACGATATCCAAAATAAATAATAATACATAAAAATATCACTGTTAAATCTAATATATAATCTCCATAAACTATAAGTGCTCGTTTTCCTATTTTCTTAATGTTAATTTAATCTTATCTATCAGCTTTCCTAACCTATCATCTTTATGTTATAAAATTGAGGGGGATTATATAACCTGTTAAACTTTCGATCTATCCGTCCCGCTGATTCGGCCCGACCAAATCGAATTCGGTCTTAGATCGAGATTTGACTTCGGAAAATAAATTTTTTTAAAAAAAAAGCTTACAGAGAAGAAATTTCAAATATTTATTTTAATTCTCTATTTTAATGGACAATGGGAAAAAAATTCAACCAAAAATTGCGGAAATATAGGAAAATAGCCGGGAAAAACTTAGGAATAAAAAACTAGGGGAAAAAAATCTCAAGGGTGAAAAAATTAAGAACAAAAAATTGCAGGAAAAAATACCGTTGGAACAACAGTCATCGGAACATCAAGTACAATTTAAAAATAAAACTGCGATAGGTAAATATTTAAGATCATAAATTAATCTTATTTTAAATTGTGTAAGTATATCAAGTACATCAGTGAAGAGAATTTGTCATCTCGATAAAGCCCAGCAACTATGCCCGAATTGGATGGGGGTAAATTGGACTTAAAAATTTAATAAATCGTGCAGGGATGGGGCTTAAAAATATTTTTCTAATTGGGCCTACCGGGCCTTAAAAAAATATAAAATTTATTTTAGAATTAGGATATAAAAATGTGGTTATTATTTTGCCGGGATTAAAAACAAATATCGCAAAAATACGAAATTCCAAAAATATAACGCCGATTTCCCCTAATCAAAAAAAATATATTCGTGTTCGATAAACCATTATTTTTGTTAAATAACGAGCCAACAAATTGCTAAAACTTCTTAATGAAAGGTATTAAAAATTCTTAATGAAAGGTATTAAAACCTCGATTCGGAAGATATAAAAGTTTATATTTTTTGAAAGGGAATTTTAAATGTTATTTAGATGTGGGAAATAGATATTAGAGATCTGAACTGCTTGACCTGCCCTCGGCTAGCATAGCAGGTCTGACTAAAAAACGAGCGGGAGAATTTGTGCAAAGTAGCGAATCATTTTTGCAAAACAATTTTCTGACCAGTCCGGAATTTTGCAATTTATTCAAACCTGAATAATGCAAATTTGCGATTTTCCGTTTACAAAAAGAATTACGTACGGGCCAGGAAACGTTACCAAATGGGTCCCGAATAAACCCTATATTGGGTGGGCCAAAACATTTAAAAATTCTTGACGAGACATTTTGGCCAAACCGTGTTGATGTCAAAATACATAAAGATTGAGACATGTATAATTAAAAATATAGACATTATTTATTGATATTAACAAGTATTATCCTCAGTATTATTATTTTATTTTTAAATGATTTATTTTCAGAAAACTTTTATTCCTATAGTTTTTTCCGATTTTTTTGCATTATTGTTATTAAGAATTTTTTAAAATATTTTTGTATTAAATTTATTAATGTGAACTATTTAAAGAATAATATTTATTATCATACTATACCAAATAATTATACTATAATGGTTCTAAAGAAACGAAAATTGTGCACTATAGGGTCTTATAATTCAACCCGAAGTCAGGTGCGTTCAGGCTGGCTCATACAAATTTTAAAACAGGTTCTAACATTTTTGAAACTTTTCATTTGATGAATACAGTAAAAAAAATAAATAATATGACCTGAGTTAAATAAATAATTAGGTACAATATTATGAATTGGATAAAGTAATATGTGAATAAGTTTTATATAAATAACTAAACTTGATACCATCTCATCACATTTCTTAATGGACCATAAGTTAACTAAAAGACATTTTGTATATTATAATCATTTATGTAACAGACCTTCAAGTAGGCCTATTCAAAACGAGTGCATATATTGAGTTACTTTGTATTGTAAACTAAAACTTATGATAAGTTGGCTCCAAAAAACCAAACTTATAGCTATCGGGGAGTTTGAACTTATAAGATTTACAATTTACTTAGTTATTAATTGATAGAAACATGAATAAATAGCTATAGGCCATATTACATTATTTGTCAGGCTTAGAGAGAGCAATACACCCACTAAAAAAATCTGCAATTGGGGAAGGTAATGTATTGCCAAATACCTATTTAAAAAATAAAATATGGTAGTTGTTTATAAGAAGGTTGGGGAAAGTAAGAAGGGGGTTAAAAGTTAATAATAACTTTAATATATGATAAATTTGTATTGCCAGTTTAGGTATAAAAGCATTTTATAGCATATCTTTTGAAGTTCTTATAGTAAATTTTTAAATCTGGCAAAAATATAAAAAAAGTAGCAGTACAGTACTTCAATAAAGTGAACCATTGGTTCTCAATCTATTATACTAAATGTGTTTCATATAATTACCACATAATTAATTATTTTTTTTAATGCAATTGGTGCACTTTAAAAATAAATCAAAAAATCATCCTCTCCCCTTTTATAATTTAATAGATATTTACTTTAAAGAACTTATTAAAATTTGCTAAGGGAAAAAAGAGAAAATTTTAAATTTATAATAACACTACAAATAAAATAGACAACTAAAAAAAATTCAATTTATAATATAAATAATTTACTTGCAATGCATTATATAAAAGTTGATGCTCAAATTTTTTGATAGTTAATATTTGTTGAAACATGTCAAAAAGTTGCTCCTTGTTTAATGCAGTCTCTGCACTAGGCCTATTTGTTTGAAATTGCATAAATGATTGATGCTGTGAACGGGAGGAAGCTGATAAAGATTGTTGAGTTGATAATTTTTTACCATCTTCATTCAATGAAAATGAAGTTCCACCTTTGAATAAGGCATCATATTTATTCATATAGGCAGATAATGCCATATCTTTATTTAGTCCTTCTTTATTTGGCAAAATCTTTAATTTTTTATCAATATGAACCTTAAAAATTTCTCTAAAATCATTTGTTGAACATCCACCTGTTGTAACCATCTTTAATACTCGATCACTCTTTAGAAATACATCAAAATAATGTTGAATTGCATTATAAAATGCTTCATCTACAGCAAGATTGCTGTCTACATTCAAAAAATTTGAAAATCTCTCTTTAATTTGTTGTAAACCTGATTTGGTCACCTTATAATATCTACGTGTCATATCTGTTGGTTGTCTTGCATTAAATGGATATGATATACAACGAGCAACAAAAACATATATTTGTAGTCTCCTTTTATGCTCTTCTTCACTTTTATCTTGACTTTCATCCATGATAATACTAATTCTATCTTTTTCACTCAAAATAGAAGGACTTGGACTAATAGGTCTAAACATTGTAGAAGACGATATGGAAACAGTTTCTGATCCGCCAATTTTCCGTGGAATGTTGAATTGATTCAAAGAAATATGTGAATTTATCTCATGAGAAGGTGATATACTGCGACTTTGTATAGGAAGGCCATGCAAGCTTTGAGACGCTGTGTATGTATTAAGTGGAACTTGTAATACATCCGTGGCAACTTCTCCTCCCTCTTCTACAGCATTCGAACTATTGTCTGAATCCTCTTCGCTAGATGAAGGCACTAACATATGTTTGACATATGTGCAAATGATATGAAAACTTTTTATCGATTGAAATTAATTGGAATTATTTATTTGAAAGATTAAATTAACTAGAAGCCTTTTTTTAATGCTCTATTAATATAAAAACATATATAATTTAAGGCCCTGAAAATATTAATATGTCAAATTTGTAAGTATTTGCATTTCCAAAAGCATCAATATGATCCCCCCCCCCTTAAATTTTAGCGGCATATTACATTCATGCTCAATTTTATGTTATATTTTTATGTGTCAATTAGATCTATATTAAAATAAATATTATTTTAAATATTTATATTATTATTAGAATTTTAATTTAATCATTATTATTTATATTTCAACGTTTAATTTGTTTGACATTGTTTTTTCCATTCAAATTAATTGTTGAAAATATGTATAGATTTTTTTAGAAAAGTATTTTTTAGTAGTATTAGTATTGAAGAAAAGAGAGGGATTTAATAGTGTTCTTAAATGTTTATGTAATTAGAGTAAACAATTTGTCGTCGATAAAAGTTTATTCATTAAATCACCAATCAAAATAAGTTTTTATTATAAATCAAAAATTCATTATCCCTACTTTTTTTAAAAAAATGTTCTTTTTATATCTATTTAAAAATAAATATATCATAAAAAATAATCAATTATGAAAAATAAATATGTTCGTTTAAAATTCAACTTAACTTAAGTTATAAAATAACAAAAAATATAAATTGTCAATTTTAGCGAAAATATAAAACGATGAAATAAATTGATTTTAAAGTTAAGAAAAAAACATAAATTGCAACGATAAAATAAAATGTATATAAAATAAAAATAAAATCTCGCCGTAAGATATAAAATAAAATAAAATTTCAAATCGACGTATCTAATAAGTATCAATGACGAAGCGTAAAGTTTACTATTAGGGAAGCAATTTAAAAACAATTTTATTTATCAAACCATACAATAATTTAAGATTTATAAATAAGCGAAATTCGTCTTGATCTTTGACAAAAATTTTCATTGATATTTGCGCATAGAATCTATCATATTTTTATTAGATTTTTGCCAAATGATTTATTTGAATCATCAACTGCAAATGAGTGGTTGCCTCTTCATGCCGTTAAACAGCCTTCAAAAGATTATTCATATTCGAACTCTATCATCACAAACATATTTTTCCTCTGGGACCAACTAGAGCTGCAATGGGAGGGGGAGAGTAAACCAAAAAGATCGCTCACTCGTTGTTTTGAAATTTTTTCAACCCACCCGTCACCTACCAAATGTAGGAAAAATATTTTAGAAAACCCGGCCAAACCCATCCGAAGCCAATGCAGACCTCTATGACCAACAATATAGAGCATTGGAAAATTCACGTTCAGTGAGCCACTCATATTTTTCATTATTGAGAGAAAAATTTAGAATTCAAATTATTTCTTGTCTTGGTCTTACATTTTTTAATAATCAATTTTTTCACATCAAATTTCTTGAGCTAAATAATATTTTTAACAAAACCATTGCAATCATTAGACATTTTAAATTAATTAATTCTTTTAAAAAAAAGGAATTATTTAAAAAAGAAGAGATAAGAAATATAATATAAAAATTTCTCTTATTTTATTTATTTATAAATTAGGCTTTTTTCCCCAACGCTTATTTTTGAAACACAGAATTATACAATACATTCGATGTTTTTCTCTTTATTTATTAAGATAATATGCTATTTTATATTTCGTTCCTCAATGTTTATATTTTCCATCGTAATAAAAATATTACACCAAAAATATCTCGTATGAGAATAATTTTTTTCTATATTTATTTTAAAAAATATCATAAAAATTATTTTAACCAGTAATGGGGCATTACAATTCCCATAGGTGCATGTTCTGCAGATGATCGTTTTCAGGATTAGCACGTCTTTTATCTTACTTATGTTTTAACATGAAACAGCAACAATTAAATCTTATCGAAATCTTAAATGTTGATAAAGAAGGGGCAAAATAAGTTGATTTAAATGTGATAATGAAATAAATAAAAATGAAATAAGAAGAAACATATTTTACCTTAAAAAACATTAACATTTATTATATTATATTCACACAATTAAAATATATTAAATATTATTAGGCATTTGTATAATAAAAACATAAAGGGAAATAAAAAATAAGATTTTCTATATAAAATTGAAATTATAAGCTTTTTGGCCAATTTTTTACAATTAATTAATATGTGATTAAGTTTATTTTTTTCAATTTTTGAACATATCTTTAAAAATTTCAGCATGAATCTGATTAAAATAATTACTAAGCCTAAAAATTGCATTTAAATTCGTTTCTACCGAGAAACATTATTTTCTTCGTTTTAAATCGTTTAATTCACTTTAACCCCCCCCCCCCCTATGACAAAATGCTTTTTCTAAAAAAATATATTATCATTATTAAATTTAAATATTTATATTTGAAATACAAGGAAAATTTTTTAAACGACTTCATTTTTAAAATATATGGTTCTCCATTAAATTAATTTTTTATTAATATTTTATTTCCATTTAAAACTATCATCTATATTAAATTTGATAGCCACATACCTATAATACTGAATATTATAATAAATATACAAGCTTTTTACAATATACACATGAAGGTTATTTACAAAGTTTCCCATTCAAAAAAGGAAAAGGGTCAATCTAAAAAGGAGAAGGTTCAAAAAAGTAAAGTATCAACAAAAATGAAAAAGTCTCAAAGGCTTAAAGTTTGATGAAAAGTGTCAAATAAAAAAGAAAAAGGTTCAATCAAAAAAGGAAAAAGTCCAATCAAAAAAGGATTCAATTAAAAAAGGAAAAGTCCCAAAAGAAAAGGAAAAATATTTTTATGTCAATTTTTCTTAAATAATTTTTTTAATTTTCCATTCTTATTTTATTTCTAACTTTTAGTGATTTCTTTAAGTCATTTTTAATCTTTATTTTCCTTATCTTTTCTCAATTTATTTTTATTGATTTAAAGTATTCATTCTTGCTCTTGATGTGTGGGACTTAGTCTTGGGAGCTGATGGAGGGGGGGGGGGGTGATAAAAAATGTTGATATAGATATCAAATAAAAGGTAATTAAAATATCTTTTGATTGTAATAATAATTATTACTCTAAGTGGGCGGGTCAAGGCCTTGGAGGTCAGAAATCATTTTTATTTTTAACCCCCCCCCCCCCCATTTCATCTACTCCCCAGACCAAGTCTTACCCATTAACAAGAATGAATCAGTCATAGATTTTTAATTAGCTCTTATTTGATACCCATATTGATATTTAGTGTTGACAAAAATATTACTGACCCCCCGAGATCTCGACCCGCCTACTTAGAGTAAAAATTATTATTACAATCAAAAGATATTTTAATTACCTTTTATTTGATACCTATACCTATATCAATATTTTTTACCACCCCCCCCCCCACCCCCCCCCCTTACCCCTCTACTCTATCTACCCCCAAGACTAATTACACTCATTAAGAGCAAGAAGAGATATTTTCAATCAATAGATTTTAAAGCTATTTTGGTACCCATATCAATATTTTTGTTTGATAAAAATATTCTTGATCCACCATATCTATACTTGCGCATTAAGAGGGAGAGATTGACCTCCAATTGAATAGATCTTTTGATTAGCTATCGATTAATATCTTGTAAAAAATTGAATTCAGATCCCTTTAAATCCCGTGATAATCGCGGATAGTATTGATCTCTTTAAAAAATTTGGAATATATAATCGTAATTGTAATGAAATAATTTGATATGCAAAAAATATTAATAAAAAATATTTATTGCAGAAGTGAAATAAAAATGAAATGAAATTTAAAAGATAAAAATATAAAAATATAAAGAGAAAAAAATCATAAAAAGTCTAAAAATTGTTATGTATGAAAAAAGAGGAAAGAATTGTTAAAAAATGAGATAAAAAATGGAGTTACTGATAAATAAGGGAAAATTAATAATTTATTTTTAAAAAGACAAGAATAAATTATCCAAAATTAGAAGAAAAATAAATTGAGAAAAGATAAGAAAAATAGCAAAAAGTTAGAAATAAAATAAGAAGGAAAAATAAAAAAACTATAAATTTCAGAGAAATGACAAGAATAAAATTTATAATTTTTTTTCAAAAAATTTTTTAAAAAAAAATCACTATTTTCCTTCAGTAGCGTCATTGCCCAGGGGCTTGAGCCCCCTAAAAAATTTGAATAGCCCCCTGGCAAATATTTTTTAATGGCTCCTTAATATTGCCTTGATCTAAAAATAATTTTTTGATAGCCCCCTGAACAATTCCTTTAATAATTCTATAAAGTATTATATATAGATTTTATATTATTATTTAAAAATTTATACGTCTGATTTAAGTTTTTATTAAATGAGTGTTATTTTAATTATTAGATTTAGATTAATACACAGTGGCGTCACTAGGGGGGGGGGCTCAGGGGCTCGAGCCCCATGAAAAATTTGAATAGCCCCCTGAAGCAAAAAATTTCTTTTTAATGGCTCCTTAATATCCCCTTGAACTAAAAATAAATTTTTTTGATTGCCCACTGAATGATTTCCTTTATAATTCTATTGAGTAATATATAGATTTAATTTTATAATTTAAAAATTAATAAGTCTATCTAAATTATTCTTATATGAATACTATTTTAATTATGAGTTTAGATTAATACTTATAAATTATATTTTCACTATGTCAGCTTGCAATCAAATTCTGTGTTAAAAATAGAATATTAATATCACTTATAATGTCTAGGTATCAATTTAACCTTAACAGTTGAAGCTTAATTAATTTTTATTATTTAAATTATTTTATAACCCTAATTAAATAATTATAATCATTTAATTCAAAATAAATAAATAATATTGTAATTAGCCGAGTTCAAAATCACTAATCAATTATGTTATTCATTTTTAAATGTAACTACCATGCCAAAATATTTCCAATGTCTAAATAAATATAAGAAATTTATTTATAAAAAGTAAGTAGACATATAGTTGATAATCCTCTATTTTA